GGCCATAACTTTATTTTTAAGGATGAAGAGAGATGTTGTTTTGTCACAAGTTTTTAACTCTGCACCCATCATTTTTATCCTCAAAGTACTGTGAAAGTCTCAAGTGAGCTTTTTCCCTCCATTGTCAAATTTCAATCAATCTGTTTGTAAGATGTGCATTATTTTGATTTATCAGACAGCAATTCTCAGTGCAAAAAGGTTGCTACATCTAACAAAGGGCAATACAATTCTGATATTGTTACGTTAAATGCAGCTACACAATAATTCTAGTCTATATACAAGCTTAAGATAACTGTGATTTTAGTGTTTTCTCTAAAAGTTGTATAGTCATTGTGACAACTTTCATTTGACAAGCAGAGAAAACTGTTTTAAAATGATCTTTTTATATATTTCATTATTTGCAATGATTATTAAAGTCATATATTTAATGTCACATTCAGTCACAAATGGAGAGTAGAGCGGCAATTATGTACTCGTCAGTTAACTTAATTGTATTGTTAATAAAAATAGTAGTTGTTAAAACAAAACATCTTGAACATTTGAAGTATGTTCCATTGAACTTCAGTGCAAACATAGTGACAATGTGTAACAGTCAATACTTTGACCAAAATAGATATATTACTGTCACGGGAGTTTTCAAATACTTTCAACTTTTCAGAAGTATGAGAGATTTTTAATTTGTAGGCATAATCCGCAATAATGTAAAACATTCAAATAAAGTATCATGAAGATTTTAATACAACATGGCTTGTGCTTTGCACTTTTTTCCATTAGACATGACAGAATCATGAAAGATGCTAAATAATGTCTGATATGTGACAGTTCAGATTAGTTCAACTCCTGGATTCAACAAATTCCAGCCATTCCCCCCGACCCCTTAAAACCTGACAACGTAACTGCACAAATTCTGACAATTTTAAACATGATTTATTCCTGGCTAACAACATCTTATTCTTAAGAAAACCTCTGGGCTTCATTTAGCAGTTTCATAATACCTATAGTGTGCATTAAAAGGATAACAACTGTTCGTTTTGGCCAAAAAAACTGATTTTCCTGAGATGACTAATTTTCCATGCTTACTAATGATTAATGATCCATTCCAACTTTCAAAGTTAGTCTGCAATGTATTTAGTTATATGACTTTCATACAAACAGTTGTTATCCCTTTAACAATTTTTTAATTTCCCACTAGCAAGACAATACCATTTATATAAGCAACATTTTCCAAATAAAAAGTTACAGACACATGTTGCTATGAAATAATAAATTAAAGTGATTTGACAAATAAAAAGCTACTTGAAAACAGAAAAGTTATTAAAACTGATAAATGTATTTTTAATCTTTCAGAGTAAGCTCAGACAAATTTTGTTCCAGCAAATTACAAAGACTAAATACTTCAGGCTGAACCAACAACAAAAAAATTAATGAAAAACAACCAAACGGTTTTCTTCTATTACCAAATCTTTTGACTCCCAATCTTTTTAGCTGAATTTGACCTTCATAAATTGAACCCAGTCATATTTATGCAATAGAGGCTGTTACCCTATTCCAGGCCCCAGTATAGCACATGCTACAGACCCCCCTCTAAGCACCCCTTGACAAAATACTAGGTTCTATCCCCATTTGTAGCCATAGGCTTCTTTATAACAAGTGCTAGAAAATCTTTCTACGGCCTTTTCACAACAGCTATCCCACAGTTCCCATGTTAGTTGTATCTATCCATGCTGATATGTCATCACAAGTTAGAATTAGTTCATAAAACTTTGGATAAAGTTATCTGATATCCGATCACAGTACAACTGCCATCTTTTCCTTATAATGGCGGTAACACCTCTCTCTTGGGAATTCTGGGTTGATCTTTTTCTTCAGGGTCATGAGACGGGGGCTCAGGCGCATCATCGATTATATTCATAGCAGGCGTCTCTGTTGGAGGCGAGGGTAAATCATCCACACCTGACAGCCCTGATTTTGGTACAACTTCTGCAACATTTTCTTCCGACTTCACATCGCTGCTGTTGTTATTCTCCACAGAAGGGCCTCTGATTGGTGCCAAAGGCGCACTCTGTTTCAATGGTCTGGGCTCTTGGAAAGTGGCACTAGGGGGCGGCACTGAGGGCCCAGTGGCTTCTGCAGGAGGGGACTGTCTTGTATTCTGTTCTGCTGGTGCTGCCATCTGCTGTTCTTTTTTCCACACTAAACTTTCACCAACTTGAAGAGCTGGACCCAGCTTGGTACCCACCTCCAACAACTAAATAAATAAACAATATAAACAATTAAATAAGTAAATAGCTGCTATGTTGTCTGTTTTAACAGTAACAAATGCAGCTACTCTGCTTCTTTAATTTTTATTATAATTATAATTCATAATTATTATCATTATTACTTTCTCCTAAAGGTATTACAAATTAATAGCAAGTTAGAAATATATAATACACTGTAACTCTATATTTACATTGCAATAACTTACTTCTGGGTCAATAGCTTTAGGATTCTTCTCTCTGGCCTGCTTCAATCTGTGTTCATAAATGGCATATTGTTTTGCTGCTGTTTTCCTCTCTCCTTGATTATACAGAAACACTGCATAGTTCAGTGGAATAGATAGGTCACGGCTGGAAAATACAAAGAAACATCTACAGCTTGCCAATTTTTTTCTTCTATTTAGGAAATGATTAATTTTTTAGATTATTTTTTATTTTTATGGAAAAATATAATATGGTATTTTTGGATTGAAGTGCAAGTAGATAAAAAGTTAGGGAATCTTATAATAAGTCTTACAGGCCAAGTTTCGGTTCTGCACTATCTAGTAACCCACTGCTGTTCAGTTTACCAGTACATTTTCTTTACTAACTCATAGGCTTACTTTTATTTATGTATTTACCTGTCTAGGTTCATAGCCTGTTCATAAGCTTGCTTAGCATTATCTGGGTCCTCCAGGTGAGTCAATGCCACTGAAACATAGCAAGAATAGCAGTAAATCATCAAATAACTTAGGCCCATAGCCAAGGGGGGTTCTGGGGGTTTGAAAGAACTGCCCTTTTTGCCGGGAAAAGGTTCACTCTGGGTAAAATTTGATCTAGGTACAAGTAGGTTTTATTGTATAAGGTACACTTTTTCAGAAAAAGAACCCCCTTTTGAAATGGGCCTGTAACTGTTCCATTATTATCTGAAGTTGTGAAAGATCGACAAATAATATGACTTATTGATTTCTTTCCACTGTATTAGGGTGCCTGCCACACCTCTTAGACATGATTTAATTTGCCCCATAGCATGGATCTACCTGTGGGGCAACAGGCTCTCATTTCCTTAACAGAATGGCAGATTCAGGTTCTTCCCCAATCTAACAGAAGAAATAAAAAGACACCTACCACTACCCACAAACGCTTGCTTTAAACATCTAGTGCCAAAATATTTTAAATCAAACTAAAGGAGGATGAAGGAAAAAATTGAACGAATACGTTTTGCCACCATCTTGTTGACATCTTACGTTTCCTACAGGTAGTGATAATAACAAAAGTTCCCACACCAAAGAAGGGAGGAAGAAGATGTAAAATCTTTTTGCCACCAACCTCCTCCTTCACGTCTTAGCTTCATATCCTGTGCACTTCATGGTGGCACTCTGGAAGTGGAATCTTCAGTTATAATTATGTTTACTAACCTGCCAGTAACATGAAGAGATGTCCATATTTTGGTCTCAGGTTAATGGCGGCACTCAGGAAGTGGAATCCCGAGGCATACTGTTGCATGGTGAGATGTACGAGACCCAAGTTGTACAGAATCTTCCAGTCAAATGGTGCCAGGTAGTTGGCTCTCTTCAAACAGCTGATAGCCTGGGAAAGGTGACATTGTATATTGTATTCTATAATTGCATTGCAATGCATTGCATTGTATTGTGTTGTATTTCAAATTTTACATTACATCATAACATATCAAATATATAATTCAGTCTTTGCAAAATAAACAATTAACAAAATCAATAAATAAATCTATGAAAAAAATTACTTATTAAATCAAAAGTCCATCAGCTTAGGATCAGGCATCTTTTTCTTTCATATTTCATCCAATCATCTATTATTCATTCATTTGTGTGTTTGTTTGTTTGTTATGTAGGCAAGCAAGATGCTATGAGGTTCTTTTTTAAAATGGCACTTAATGTACTCACTGCTACAAACTTTTTCTTCCCAAAGAAGCACATCCCAATGTTATTCCACAGGGGCGCACTCTCAGGCGTCTCCTGTGCCGCAATACGGTACTTAGTCAACCCCACATCGAAATCTCCGTGATTCTGCATCATGCTGCCTGCGGCAAGGATGGCCTTGGTGTGGGTGGGGTTGTAGGTCAACGCATTTCCAAGGTGTTCAAATGCCTTCTGGAACTGACCAACCTAGAAGTTGGAGGAAGAACAGTATAACAGGCACCTAGTAACAGAGGATTTTTTTAAAGTGCTACTGTTACAGCAATACCAGCTCTACAAATGTATCATCTGCTTTTGGTGATTTTTTTAATGTGTTTATAAAGTTCAGTACAAACCAAGAAAAAACCACACTGTACCAAATACTCTTCTGTGGCACACTGGTGGATAACTTACCTGCATGTACAGCAAGCCCATAGTGCTCAAAATATCTGGGTTTTCTGGAGAAAACCTGAAATCAAAAACCGCATTTAAAAAGGAACTCTCATATGATGAATCCATAGCAGATACACTTAAACCACATACAAGTTAAAATACTGAATGTCTCAACAAAGAAACTTGCAGTTAGTTTATCATCAAAGCAAGAACCATCTGTCCATCATTTTCACTACATGTTTAGAAACTCTCAGTTGCTTCTTTTTTAAAAGATATTTAACCTGTCAATCAATCAATCAATTATTCAATCAATAACCCTACTGCAAAAAAAAAAAAAAAAAAAGAAGCAGAAAAGAAGAAATCAATAGACTTGTCAACACACCTAGCACATTAATGCATCATTCACAATATAACTTACCCCACAATAAAAATATAATGATATTATTAAAAATCAATAAATTAAACCCTTACTCCACAGCTCTCTTGTAGACCTCTATAGCCTGGTTAATATCTCCTTCCATCAAGTAAATCTTGGCCAACATGATATAAGACAGGTCATGGCGGGCAAAGGCAATGGCCTGCTTCAGACACTCCTTGGCTTTCTCATATTCCTTCAGGTATAAGTAGCATATGCCCTGGTTGTGGACCACCTCCTGGGGAGTAGCAGGGGGGAGAATTTGTCAGGAAAATATCATTTCATTTCACTGTTTAAAGTCTAATATAGTTGGACATGTGCATATGCAATGTTTTATATTTATTTAGTTTCTTATTTGCAAAAGCAAATTGTTTTATCTTAGTGGCCTACTAAGGCTGACAAAAGAGATAAATGATGTTAAGCTATACCATACATCCCTCTCAATTTTTCTTAATATTCCCTGCTGGCAAATATTGATTTTTTCACATCTTCTATGTGAATCACCTACCCAGTCTCTCTCACTAATCTTTGCGGCCTCATTGTACACATCTATTGCAGCCTTATGTCTGGCCAATAAAAACCTGAAATACATCAAATAATTTATGTCTGGCCAATAGGAACCTGAAACACATCAAATAATTTATGTCTGGCCAATAAAAACCTGAAACACATCAAATAATTTATGTCTGGCCAATAGGAACCTGAAACACATCAAATAATTTATGTCTGGCCAATATGAACCTGAAATACACCAAAATATCAGATAACCTTGTAAATATGGCGTTATGTAATCGGCAAGTTAGATTGTGGCAATTTACTCGAAAAACTGATTTTTAAATATTAAAATAATTATTAAAATAATTCAATGTGGTGATTTTATATTTATGCAAAGGCTATAAAAAAAACACAATTTTTAAAAACAAATAAGTTACATCTATGACTATGTAAAAAATATTCCATAAATATATTTTTGAGTCAATACTGTTATGGAAAAAAATACCTAATCCCATTTTTTGCTATAGCTAAAGACCAAGATTACATTTTATTCCTTCAACAAATAAACCATATCACCCTTACAAAGATCTGGCCACTTGTTTGAGGTTATCAGCATTGTTAGGGTTGAGAAGTGAGCAGGTCTGGAAGAGTTCCAAGGACTCCTGGATCCTCCCCTCCTGTCTTAGAATCAAAGCTGAAAACAATGTTCAAAAACATATTTTGACATCAATCATAACAATTTATCAAAAATAATAATACTATTCTTTTATCAAAAAATTATAATACTTTTAACTAAAACAAGACAAAAATTGGATATCTTTATGAATTAACCAATAAGTACTACAAGGGCGTATTCGCCACCAGTTGATCCTGGACTAACTAGTCCCCGGATCAAATATGGCTTGCTCTTGAAGGCAAACCGCATAACCCCCTAACATTAATAAAATAACTGTACCTTGAACATAGACAGCATATTCACACATCCCCCCAGTCTCAGTGAGTTGTTCTTTGATCAGAGACTTGCACACATCATACTCCTTCTTCACATAGTGTAGGTGGATCAGCCAGTTCTTACGCTCAAATATGGGGATCTCCGGTGCTTTATAACCAAATAAATAAAGAATTTAATCAATTTATCTATTAACTGATTGATTAATTATAATAAAAAAGAAAAGTTCAGTATCTTTTTTTTTCAATTTCCTCTTTTTATTTTAGAATTTAGAATTACAGTATCAGTTTTATGTAGACTGAAATAGTCCATGAGATTAACATCACATCTCTTGCACTTGCAGCAGGCTGGTTTATATCAGACACATACTATTATAGGTGAAACATGTCATATACAATTCAAAGGGTATTTACTGTGCTGAATATTCAAGTTGTGAGACACGTACGTTTCTTTGGCTTTGGAGCAGGTTTTGCCTTAACTTTAGGAATCTGTGGAATCTGTGGTATGTCACTTAAGGCTCTTTTTTCTTCCTCATCATTCTGAAAGACAAACAATATTCTTCGTTTCATATATTAAACATTTGAAAATGCAAGTGCACTTAATGTCTAGACGTGTTAACTGCCATGTAGAATGGAGCCAAACACGCTCGGCTGTCACCTTGATTGGATAGTAAACGATTGTCGTAAAATCGCTAAATGATATTAAAACCGGGTTCATAAACTTGAAAACCACCTAGGACAACCTTAGACTGCCACATTAATCCAACACAATGCAAAAATAAACTATAACAAGTGCTTAAAGCCTTCAAACCGAATGTCGTAAAGTCCCCACATACCTCCATAGAGACAATAAAATAGAATGAGCTTGTGAAACAAAAAACAACCAGTTCCAACATAATAATCGAAATAAAATACTGCCGGGCATCAGAGCGACCTAAAACTTGGCACGCTTACCGCTAATACTGCAGGCTACATCATCCCGTCGCTCGTTTGTAAACTCCGTGCATGGCATACGCACAATCAAGCCGTATATCCAAATTTGTCACCTTTGTCACCTGTATATCAAATTTGGATATACGGTTTGATTGTGCGTATGCCATGCACGGAATTTACAAACGAGCGACGGGATGATGTAGCCTGCAGTATTAGCGGTAAGCGTGCCAAGTTTTAGGTCGCTCTGATGCCCGGCAGTATTTTATTTCGATTATTATGTTGGAACTGGTTGTTTTTTGTTTCACAAGCTCATTCTATTTTATTGTCTCTATGGAGGTATATGGGGACTTTACGACATTCGGTTTGAAGGCTTTAACCACTTGTTATAGTTTATTTTTGCATTGTGTTGGATTAATGTGGCAGTCTAATGTTGTCCTAGGTGGTTTTCAAGTTTATGAACCCGGTTTTAATATCATTTAGCGATTTTACGACAATCGTTTACTATCCAATCAAGGTGACAGCCGGGCGTGGAGCCAAATGATACTGAATTTTATAATTGTCTTCTTCATGAATGCAAATTACATGTATCTGATTAGCACGAAAATGCATGCGTTAGCACTTCTATTGACGATTCCAATATGCACTGTAGCACAGACGGTACATTTCAGAATCGTCAATAGGAGTGCTAACGCATGAAATTCCGTGCTAGTATCTGATATCCGTAGGTAGGTAGATCACAATCCGCTAGGGGCGCTACAGTCGTAACTGTCCACGGGCAGTGAAGTGTTAAACTGAAGTCGGCCTGCTGACAGTTCGCCTATGGAACCCCTTTTTTAAATCTCTCTTTTAGCGCTGCGTAAAAAAACTAATACAAGCCATTAACTAAATAAGTTGTAAATCAAAGAGTAAAATCCGGTCACATGATTTTCCCATGTTGCAGTCTTTGACAAGTTTCGGTTCTGCTTGTTTTAAGTTTTGCCTCTACAAAATGCTAAAAAATTTCAGGTAAGTGCTGGTATCATCTTTTTGAAATTTATATCCAGCAAAGTTTATGAAATTTGCTATATTATGTAGAAAAATCATGAAATTTGAAGGTTGCGAAGTATAGTTAATTTAATCCGCAATATTACATGATGTGAAAATTACCACAGGGAAATAGCTCTGCCCTGATTAGTCACAGGCTATGTGAGCCAGACAATAGGCTGAGCACACAAAGACACGCAGGGTGCTCTGCTGCGCCTGAGTGATCATTGCTGGTCAGTGGGCACAGGTTTTGAGCTGAGAAGTGTGGACACTTTTGGTGGATTTTTGCAGTTAAAAAACTTCAATATCTTTGTTGCTTGTAGGAATATTTAAAAAATTCCAAATGATTTCATCCGGTTTTTGCATTACCTTTCAGATGATATAAGTATTTTAATTTTCTGATCAGTTTGAAAATTTTTCTGATATACCTACCGTAGGCACAACCAAAATTCTAAACTCCTCTAACCAAAGGCCTAATGGAGTCAAAACAGAACTTTTTTTACTTGATTTCAGGCATTATTATCAACCTTTGGTATCATAAATATATTCACCTGTAGAGTGTTATCCTCTAGTGAAACTAACGACTTCGATTTCTGTGTTTCTTCTTCTCCGAGATCATTCATAGTTGACATTGGTACCCACAGAACTATGTTACAGATCCGCACTGAATAATTTAAACTGTTCAAATTTTGATTTCAATTTTTATTGAGATTTAAAGTCTCTCCATTTTAAATAAAATAATTATTGATTATGTGATAAGTTGAAAAAAAAGGTATCTATCAAAGTTAAGTCCTCACGCTGCGACATGTACACGGAAATTCCGAAACTTCTCCAACAAATTAGCCTCGTTCTCGCTCTTGCTTTTCTAAGACAGACATAAACTAAAAACGAGGTTAATGGTGTGCGTAGTGATTTATAATTTTCTAATAAGAAACTAGTTGAAAATGATATCGCCTTTGAAGAAACGTTACTTATAGACAGGTTATCGTTATTATCTGTTAATTAACTTTATTAATTGAGATGTGACGGGTGATGTGAGTCATATACATTTATTTGTCACTCCCCATTTTTTTAGCGTGATGAAACGGCCCTGATGAAGTAATGATGTGTCTCGAAATAGAAACTGGGAATTTTGTTTATTTTCCGTGACTTTCAAAATTCTGGCTAAGTTTTGCGTGAGTAATTGGAAATTATGACGACGAATAGTAGATCAAATAACTAAAAAAAGACAATTATTTTTTACGTGCGATAACCCTTTCGACAAGAGTGCGATATAAATTCAGCGTCTAGACCGTCACTCGAAAAATGGAGGTGAAGGACGAAATGATAGTAAACATGGACGTTGTCCCAACACTAAATTCCGTAAAAGAACGGATAGAAAGCAAATTTTGCGTTCGTTTAAGATTAGGCCTCATTGCCAATGATCCAGACGGCAGTAGAAAACAGTGGATTGAATTTATTGGATTTTTGGGAAATGAGTACGGTGTGAAAGTGGCAAAGGTAAATTTGTAATATTTATTAAAGCTTTAAAATTTTTCACATGATTTTCTTATTAAGTTTGTTTTTATGTGTCCGTACATATAGGTATATCTGTACATGTAGCTTTCCCTTGAGTTTGTCGTCGGCAGCGGTGGCGCCGTGCATATTCAGTGTTATATGGATAAATGGAAAACCGTTTTACCTTTTGTTTTCAAACTTAATTACAAGACTGCATGATGAATTTGCATAAAATAAACACAGGTGGAGTTCCGAAGCCAGCTTGATCAGACCATTTTTTTTCAAAGGTTATGTCATTTTTTTCTTTTTTTTTTTTTAGCATTTTTTGTTCACCATTATACAAATAGATTAGGGAGGTCAGGTCACACCCCTCACACGGTCCAAAACAGGAAAAAATCTAACCTCACTGTTTGTTTTCTGACATCACTTCCAAGATTTGAGACTTATGATAGATATATAAATATAATGAAAAAGTAAATTGAATGGGCTTTCTAACAACATGTGTAAAAATAAATTGTCTCTCCACTGTGAGCCTCCAGCCATGATACTAGTAAAACTGTGAGAAATTGCCAGGGATTTCACTTCCTCATTTGGTTCCCACTTTTTATAAATCTTTCTCAGCCTGTGCATTTAGTGCCATTTTTCCTAAAGCTCCGTATGGTGTACCAGATGTTATTTTCTCAGCTTGGCTACATATTCACCAAAGAATGAACCAACCGATTGACTGCCAGGTTATGTACAGTAGGTGATTAAACTGAAAAAAGCAACCACAGCTAGCTTGTAAAGATTTTAATTGTGTTGTAGGGTTAGAGTAACAAAGCTTATAAAATTTGCAACCCTTACCTAGATATTGTAACTAATTCTTGGTTCAAATGAGTTATTTATTTATTTATTTATTTATTTATCATTTTTGGTAATACATAGCTGTAACAGCCGAAAATAAGTGACTTTGACTACCGCAAACAAAATGGCTGACGCACCAAGCAGTTCTGCTGATGAAAAAGCAACTGCACTTTCAGCACCCTATGAGGATCAAGATATCAGAATATCTAATGGGAAAATCTTTGACTTGTTCACAAAACACAAGGATATTAAACATGTAATTCAAGAATACAGAGTTCATTTTATTGTTCAAACAAAGTATGAAACTATGTTCGATTTTGATGGGCCTGATGCTTTTTTTTTTTTTTTTTTTCAGCTTTGAACTCGTTAGTGATCATAAAAACTCTAGAATGGTTAATGACAGTCAAACAAAAGTAGTAATTATCTTTATTTTAAAAAAATGGAAAATTACTGAAACTGCCATTATGTTATGGCAGGCTCTCCAAAAAATCTCTCTGGTTTTTGTATTACGCAAGTGCCCTGATGTTCAATGTCAATTTTAATATTTTCACTTATTTTCATTGTGCATTCTGGCACTTTATACTAGTCTAGTTAAACCTTAAATTGGGATATATGCAATTGCCATTGTAATATTGATTGCCATGGCAACAATGACATTATCATTGTTTACTATTCAACTTAAATTCATATATTGAGTACCAAGAGTGTCTCCCACTTCATATTCAGTTTAAAAATTCATGATAAGCCAGGTGTTGTTAAACAGTTTCGAAAACCCTTTTAACTTTTTTCTTGAATATAAGAGGAATTACAGCTAAATGTTTTATTTATAACATTTATATCAGTAATAAGTTAATCATTAACTTTTTTCAGGAATATACCAAATCTATTTGCAACCCTGAAGGTTCAGTAATGATGCCATACCCTGCTGTTCTACATACAGTTTTAACATGTCCACCAGTTCACGACAAATTGGAACGGAAATTTGAAATTGCTGCCATTTTTACGCATCATAATGTGGCCAATATCATGGGCTCGGAACTTGGAGTTGTCATGGCATCTTCTGCCCTTGATGACCTGTTAGCAAAGTGTAGGAAAGGTCAGCAACAATCTAGTGAGGAATCACTTAAGTTAACTAGGCAGTTTGCAAACAAGTTAGACAGCTATAGTAATGTCCAGGAGGCAATTCGTGACTTTAGTTCCCTTCCTCTGGGATGCCAGAAGATTATAATCGAGTGGTTGGAATTTGACGATGGCCGAGGTGACTTGAGAAGAAGCCCTTACACAGGACTCCAGTACAATGTAACATCACAGAACAACGGACCCAGACCAAGAACACAAGGCCAAGATTGCCCAGATTCGGCAGTGAATGATGTCTTGGAAATGGACAGTGTCGATGGTACTATGGTGTTTGCCCAGCACAGAGCGCCTCCTATTGGTGGAAGAGGTGGTGATGTGCCAGATGGTGTGGCCGTGTTTGATGCAGGTCAGACAAACACATATAGTAATGGAAGTTTTACTCATTCCCATGATCCAGATCAGACACCTGTTATGAGCATGTCACGACTGCAAAGAACAATGGATTATACAGCTAGAAACTTGACAAATTTTCCAAACACACATTCACAAACAGGGGTTAGTGCGCAATCGTCTGGGGGAGAGACAGCAGATTCTGCAGAGAAAGCTCCGATGATGTGCTCAGATCAGAACATTCCCATTCCACAGCACTATTATGCTTTGCTTACAAATCTCAGTTACACTGAACAGGAGATGCGTGAAGTCATTCACGAGAAGGGGACTCATCTGCGAGTTGCAGAGCTTATCAAAGCTCTTTCTGATTTGAGGAAAGCAAAAGCCGGTGGTCAAACGAGTACAGGAAATGATGTACATGTTACTAGTTCTGAAACTGTGTTTAATACAGGGTTCACATCAACTGAGCCTGCAGCAATGACAACCTCACCCCACACTTACACTGGCTTCACATCTAGAATTGAGAGCAACTTTTACAAGGGTGCAAATACTGATATTGCCATGGCTGCAAGCTCCTATGCTGGTCATGGAAAAATTCTTTCTGGTGCCGCTTCCAATACAGGCAGTAATTTTGCCATGGACATAAATGCAACAGGATCTCGTCCAACAGACAGCAGTGCCATAACATCAGTTGCAATGTTGCCAGAGCCCCGGGTTGTGCGGAGAAATGTCACAGATTTTGTCACCCTGGATTCTGATGAGGACGTGGCCCCCATGCCCCAAGAGAGAAATCGCCGAATTGAGTCTGGTGATATTGAACGTCTGGCTCATCATTTGGGTCAGGAACAATTTGATGATGATAACGAGCCAGAGCCCCCGTTTGTGAGGAGAAATGTCACCGATTTTGTCACCCTGGATTCTGATGAGGATGTGGCCTTCATGCCCCAAGAGAGAAATCGCCGAATTGGGTCGGGTGATATTGAACGTCAGGCTCAATATTTCGGTCAGGAACCATTTGATGATGATAACGACGAATTGCAGCCCAAACACAGAAAACAAGACCCACAGAGTCCGATACAAGCTTTTCAACTACAGCACAGAGATTTGGGTAATATATGCCTCATTCAAAATTGTTTGAACATTTGAAAGATGATAACTATTTTCACTGGCTTTCAAGGCTTAAAAGATTACTAGCAATTATCATTTTAGTTAAATCTGGATAAAATATCTGACTTGGCTGAACAAAAATTAATATAAGTATATAGCTTTTTTTTTTTCAAGTTGACTTTGTAGCCTAACTTTTTGCCCAAATAACTGAATTAGTTATTTTGTAAATTTCTCTTATCAAAACCTGAATTAAAGTTAGTTTTTCTTTAAAATTTTAAATACTCAACACACATTCTTATGGTATTAAAAAACGTTTGTTTGTTACAATATATTTTTTTAATTTATATGATTAGAGACAGACAGGGGTAGCGGTCAAAAACACAAGGCATCGGAAAGTCCTAACAGAAAGAAAAAGGCTAAAAAGAAAAAGAAACTGAAGCCAAAAGAGCAACAATTCCATGCTAAAGGGGGCACCACTCGTCAAGAGAACTTACAAAATTACGGCAACAACTCGGATAATGATGATATAATGCATATAGGAGATGTTGAACCCCCTCCTCAGAATTTTTATAACCCTGGTAAAAGCCGTGATGAATATACAGGAAGAAATGGTGGCGAAATGAACCGAGGCAGGTCGGCTTCACCTCACCAGATGGATGTTTCTGAAGCTAAAGACTCGTCCAGACCCAGAACCAGATGGGCCAGTGGCAACAGCCAAGAGGTTGTGGAGGCTGCTGGGAAGGACGTGCCACTGAGGTGTATTGTCATTGACGGAAGCAATGTGGCTTTTACGTAAGTATGAAATATGGTATAATTTGGGAAGCATGCGCTAGTTAACTATTATCACAAAGCTACTTCAGCCTTAGGCAGCATTCACCACAGCAGACTAACTAGTCTTTGGATCAAATATGGCTGACCAGCTTGAATGCTGCAGGGAATCTATTCAGGGAGTCTGTTAAGAATTAGACAGCAAACTTTTACAGTGGATCCCCATATGATGGTCTGGGGACTTTATAGTTTGCTGTTCTGAATGCAGTCTCAGAAGATACTTGGATTCATTAGGAGAATGTGCTCTGTTGCCATATATTAAACTTATAATACATTTTTATGTAATTATTTACTCTTACTCACTGTTAACTGTTACAGCTTTAATATTACTAAATAAAATTGATTAATAATATTGTTTTAAACAGTGTTTAAAAAAAATATTTTCGTAAATAATGAATTAAAAGTTTAAAGGGATTTCAATTCAAGTCAGCATTTTACCAAATGTGTGTTACAGTGCAAATTTAAATTTAATTTTCAAAGATGAATTTATACAAAAAATGTGAATTAAAATTTTTTCTTAAACCAGGCATGGCAAGAAGCAAGGACAATACTTCTTTTCCTGGCTGGGTATCCAGATAGCTGTGGACTATTTCAAGAATCGCGGCCACACCGAGATCATGGTGTTTGCCCCACAGCACTTCAAGAGCACGGCCAGATCTCAGGACCCTGAGAGAGACGAGGCTCTCTGGAAGCAGCTGGAGGGCAGTGGCATGCTTACTTTTACCCCCTCCCGGAAGATTCAGGGAAAGAGGCAGACTTGTTATGACGATAGGTGAGCGGATAAAGGAGTTGTTTTTTATCTTTTTTAAATTAAAAGAATTGGTAGTCCTCCACTTAATATCTATTTGCCTGCATAGGGAAATATTAATCATTATTATTTTATCTTCATGAAGTTGGTGCAAAAAGTATCTAGTCTTCATTAGCTTGAGGACTAAATTTTAAAAGATCTCCTTTTATTTATTAATTCATTTCTTCATTTATGTTTTACTTTATTCATTTCTTTATTAATCAGGTCTATTTGTAATTTATTTTTCAGGTTTATAGTCCAGTATGCCTTTCAGAAGGATGGTGTCATAGTGTCCAATGATAACTACCGTGACTTGATGGAAGAGAGTGAGGAATGGAGAACATTCATAGAACAGAGGTAGGCCTGTCAATATCTGATAAATCAGAAAAGAACATCTTGCTTGAATTTTAAATGTTTTATTACATGTATATATACATGATAAATATGTCTGAGAAAAAGGATACTCTTTTGCAAACTATTATTTATTTCTCATGACATAGTGTGGTGTCATAGAAAAAGACTGTTTATGAAAAGAAAATAATAACTGGTGTTTTGATGTAAAAAAATAGTGTTGAAAATTCACCAAAAGGTCTACTGTTCCAGAGAAAAATGTTACTTTGGATTTTAAAATATTTTATTAAGTTGTCTGGCACTAAGTCTACCTGTCATTGGCAACAGCCTGGTGAAGTAGGTTTCAGTACTCATCTCCAAAATATTACTCTTATAAATCTCCGTAGGTTGTTGATGTACGCCTTTGCTGGGGACATGTTCATGCCCCCCAATGATCCCTTTGGCAGAGGAGGGCCAACACTGGACCAGTTACTGAAAAAACTAGACCCCAGGGAGATGGAGAGATTGATGAGGTGAGACCTTAAGTTGTTGCTAGATATCAGTTTTCATTATAAGTTAATATGTCTACTTTAACCGGTGTAATGGTAAAGATGCCAACTGACATTGGAAGCCATATGCTATGATCTCGCTCGCTCTCTCTCTCTCTGATTTCATAACAGTAATAATAATTGTTGTACAACTTATCGTGATTAGAGAATGTCAAAGAGCACAGAGTCCTCAAAGAGGCGTTGGAGGTTGGGGTCAGAAAGGTCAAAGACCACGCGGGCATGATCAAGGTCAGAATAAAGCAACAAAGCCACCAACAAGGCAACCAAGGTCGGAGGAGAAAAACAGAGAATTTTTCAATGAATTGAGAAAAATAATACCTGATAACGATGCCAAGATCCAAGCTGTGCTGAAAAATCATCCTTACGATACGGATCTGAACAGATTGGTGGGACACTTGTTGGATGTTCTGGACTGAATAATTGGATATCTGAAGAAAAGTCTAAATATTCTGTACTGAAGCACAGATTGCAGCCATATGAAAAACATTATTTTTCTTTGGCCATATTACTTTTTTTCAATCAAATATAAATGTAATGAAAAATGAAGGTAACTTCTCTCTGTGTGAAGGAAGTTGGATTTCTTTCCAATTTGACAGATTTAATGAAGAGAGAGTTGTTATATATTCAGGTGTGATATGCATGTATGCCAAATACGTCATGTCTGTATCTTTTGTTTTCAACCTCAGCCATGGTAAAAGCTAAATAACACTATCACTAGAATGAAAATTTAGTTTACCCTCTTGCTTTTCCTGTGGTATAATTATTAGTACCACCAGCGTGTATGCTGGTGGTACTCATGGTTTCAGTCCTGACCAGTATCGTACGGCTCCGCTGGCTCCGTGGGCTCTGCCGGCTCCGTGAGCTCCTCCGGCTCCGCAGGTGGCGTGGGATACAAGTCACCATTACCGCTTCTCCTCCTAGACCACACGGACCTGTGTCTTCATCTCTTGGATTTAGGTCACATATAATCTCAACTTGAACCCCCTGGTTTTTTTGTCTCAGTCAGTGCATTCGCTTGGGCGTGACATTCGAAATGTACCCTTGTCAAATTTTTTGAAAATTCAATGCTACATATCTCCTAAATGGAAGGAATTATGGGAAAAATTAGTATAGAAGTCTGACTGAAAGTCGTATATGAGGATTTCAAATATGCCTTCGGATTTGACCTTTGACCCTTTTTTCAAGGTCAAACAGGCCAAAATTTTCGAAAAATGGGAATTTTTTGCAAAAAAAACAAACTTTTATTTGTGCCGAATTCCAGAAACTACACTCGTTTAGCACTCGTATTATAGTGAGGGGATGCAATTAGGGACTCCTTTCATCTTTGGGAGTTTGGGGTCAATCGGTGCATTTTCATGGGAGAAACGGCCATAAGATACTGAAACTGAAAACTCTCCCTAATTTTGGAACCGTAAATGCTAGAGACCTCTTGTTTTTTGCATCATGTAGAGCTTGTCAAGCACATTACTGGAGGTGGTGTCCATTTTTTTGTTTGCGATACGGTCAAGGAGTTGCGCTGTATCAAAAAACACAACTGAGCAATATTCAGTGGTGAAAATAAAATGTGAAATACTCCAAAAGTAGCTGAGATACACCCATAGTCACTATTGAACTTCAATAGGAAGTCATATACTGGCAATGTAACTGTGACCTTGAAATTGACCTTCAACCTACTTTTTACCATGAACTGAACTTTGCAATTTTTCTATCCCTTACATCTCCAAAACTAGCAGAGATACACCCATAGTTACTATTGAACTTGAATAGGAAGTCACATACTGACAATCTAACTGTGACCTTGAAATTGACATTTGACCTACTTTTGACCATGCGCTGAACTTTGCAATTTTTCCATCTCTTTTATCTCCAATACTGGCAGAGGTACACCCATGGTTACTTTTGAACTTGAATAGGAAGTCATATGCTGGATATCTAACTGTCACATTTGACCTTTGACTTTCTTTTCACTGAACTTTGCAAATTTTCTATCCCTTATATTCCCAAAACTGGCAGAGATAGGCCTATTTCTTTCTTTCAATATATATGCAACACTGATTATGCATTTCAAAGAAAACTGACAAGCCTATTGTCTTGAAAATCGGCTTGATCAGACGATTTTTATAAAAGTTGTGCTGTTTTTTTATTTTGGGGGAAGGGGCATATTTCTTGTCTTGTTTATTGCATTTTGAAGAGCTTGTCAAACACAACACTGGTGGTTGTTCCTGTTTGTTTTTTGGTTTTCCATACGAATGCGCTTACTCCAGCTGGTGGTACAATATCCGGAGGCAGTATTGCCTCTCTGATCCTCAAGTTTGTAAAGTTCTTCATTCTTGCTAATTTTATTGTTGTAAATAAAAAGCAATGCAAAAAAATACCTATAATTGTAAGAATATGAAGTATAATTCAACATATATATAAAAGGTATTGTGAAAGATTTAGAAGTGGCAAATGAGAATTGGTTTATTTTTGTATTTACTTCTTGTAACACCAGTGTTTCACCAAGAAATACTTGAAATCTGACTTCTAGGACTGAGGAAATCAGTTTTGAACAAGGTGAGAAGCAACAGAGAGAAACAATTTTATTGTGTAGTATGTAATTAGCACAGCTTAGTAAAAAATTACATCTACAATGATTTGAAAAGACAAAATCCTGTTGAAAAAAATTACTAGATAGAAAATTCAGTAATGCAGTCCACAAGGACATGTATATGTGGGATATTGATCACATCCATATTCAAAGATGCTTTTGTAAATTTGTGATTTTATAACCAACCAGTTTAGTATGTGTGTTTTGCAATAACGACGTATTCATTGGAATCCGATATAAAATGAAGCAATGCAGTCTGTAAACGTGGGATTTTTTCTATATATTATCTTTATGTTTTTGTAAATCTTTACCTTTCAAATGCTAATTTAATAGGAAGTCTGTAACAAATTTTTGTTTTATCTTTCATATAACCTCAGTAGTTAAGATGGCACTACTTGAACATTTAAGCGTGATCTTCTGGTAGGACTTCTACGTATAATTATTTGTTTAATGGATGGGAAGTGTAATAGTAGATACTAGATGGACTGTTCTCCTCCCCATCTCCCATTCACATCTTCCAAGTTGTAAAATATACAAGTAGATCAGTATTAATTGGTTAAAAAGTTAGAGGTTATCATATTTTTGTATCTTCATTTATTTTAGCTTAAATAATTATTCAGGAGTACAAACTGTCCTGTCCACTTACCATGATGTGGGATATTGTTGCTTTTACTGAGATTATTTTTCTTATTTTAATCTTTTGTGTGTGTGCACTGTGAGGCTTTTTGCAATAGTTGATTTTGAGTTTCATGTTTTTTTTCTGTGTTTTAACAGAGAAAGTAATCAGGGGTGCAATACTTGAAGCTTTTGTAATTTAGCAAAGTAATTGACAATGGTATTTTCTTAGCTTTTTTTTTTGATTGCTTTAATTTGTTGATAAAGCAAACTTGCAAAAGTTTCGTGAGAATAATATTCTGAAACAAATACAACTGTCAATAAATAAAAAAGAAAAATTCTGATAATGTTTTTAATACAATTTTCCATGAATGCAAATAAAAATATATAAGTGGAAGATGTGAGTGAGAGGTATTTAAAAAAAGTACACAAGCAGGGCAAGTAACAACACAGGACTTGTTATTTAAGTGTATGAGAGGAGAGAAAAAATTCTCTTCAGATTTGACTGCATTAGGTGTGACAATGTCGAGTGGCAGTGTGTTACTGTTAGGTGTGAAAATGTCATGAAAATGAGTTAGATGTGAAAAGTTCAGACAGGAAAGTGTGTTAGGTGAGAAGTTCAGATATGACAGTGTGGTTGCGTCAAAATCCAATTATGTGTGTTTGATGTAACAAAGTAAAGACATTAGAAATTGTGATGCGTTCCTTGAAAAACATACATTTATTTTATATATAGAACACAGTTTCATTACCAAATTATACAATCATGACTAGAAATCTCCATATTTTCAACCAAGTATAACAGGGGCAGATCCACATATTTTCTGACTTTTCCAAATTATCTTTGTGGATCCATCCTCCATTTTTGACAATCTTCCAACAGAAAAAATTAGATACCTGTTAATGAAAACTTAAAAATCTTCCAGAAGACAACCTCCATCTGCCCCTTTATTATATATCATACACCTCATATTACAGTAACTGTTATCAACATATGGAAGCCCTCACAACACATAAAGTATATATTCCAACAATACTTAACATATTAGGATAATACTTGTCCCATTCTTGTCATCTTCATAATAAAAATGTTGCATCTTAACAAAATAAAAGATCAAATAATTTTCTTACATTTGCAATTCAAATGCATTGATTTGTGATTGCTACGGCTTTCATTTTAATATTTAATTTATGAACACATTTTGTTTGTTTGGTCTCTAGTATTGGAACATAGACTGGGTTCCCATGCCTAGATTGATCCATCTGTCTAATTCTGGGGAGCCTCACTAAATTGCTATCAACATAACCAGCTTAATTGTCTGTCAAGTATACCTTATCAGCTAGGGGGTAAAGATAATTACCCCCTAACAGCTTTACTAGGCATGACAGACATTTAAGCCGGTTAAGTTGACAGGAATTTGGTGAGACTCAGCAGGGAGATAGAGCGATCCAAATATCTGTGGGAATGGTCCCATAGTGTAGGGCTCTCATTACTGAGTCTCCAATAAAATAGCTCCATGTTACAGGTTTGACGTTTATCAATTCTGCAGATCTTCAGTAACAAATTTTAGTTCACAAACTTAGCAGTTCCTACTGGTAAATATTTTTTTAAAATGCATTGTCCAGGATTACACCATAAAATCATGACAAGACTATTAATTCATGTCTTCTTAAATATATATATACACAAATTGACAAATAACTGTTTTTGTAAATATATTGCTTAAATAATACTTTGTGTCATATATATTATTAGGCTTACTGTTATTTTTTAATTATTATATCCATATTTGGATAATGAAAAGTATTTGCTGTCAACAATAAACCTAATACTGTAAGAAGCTTAACACCTATTTTCTAAATACAAACTTAAGAAGTGTAGAAAATATGGAAGACTTCAAATATAAAAACGGTACAAGATATGATGAACTTCATCATATAATTCAAGGTAATGTTTGCTGAAATATGTCAACAAATGTACAAACCTTTGAGCACCCGATGGGGGATTTGTAAATGACAAAAAGCACCAAGGCAACCAATTTGTAGATATGATACCATATTCTATAGAAAAACAAATAGGACTTTCCAAAGTTACTAGACAAGTCCGATTCAACTTTTGATAATTTTCCCATTTTCTTTTAATCTTCAGACTAGAAGTTCATACTGATTTGAACAGGAAAGTTTCAGTTGCAGACTGGATGAAGTTCTACTGTCAAGTGTGTTTGGTGTGGCAGACGTGACAATGTGGCAGACGTGACAATGTTTTGGATGTGACAATGTGTCAGATGTGACAATGTGTTAGGTGTGACAATGTTTTGGATGTGACAATGTGTCAGATGTGACAATGTGTTAGGTGTGACTGCGTCAGATATGACAATGTATTAGGTTTGACAATGTGTTAGGTGTGACAATGTGCTAGATGTGACGTGACACTTCATTAAATAGAACAGAAAAAATTCTCCATAAAACGTCTTCTAAAAAAACTGTATGTGATACTGTTTTATAAAGTTCTTTTTTTTAACGGTGAACTTAATAAATAAATGTGGCTTCCTTCATCCACATCATTCACTTCATTTTTACAGACTGCTTTTCATAGCAAAACAGAAATAAAATCAATAAAACAGAGTATTATCATATATTTGTGGACTTGAAGATCTAGATGCTTTTTTTAATTGTTAGTCATTGCTGAAATGCAAAACAACAGAAAACATTAAATGTGAAAAAAAAGCAAAAAGAAAGTTGTTTTTGGCACTGTTCCTTAGCCCCAGGGTTTCAAGACGGATGAGTTTTTCTTTTTTACATCTTCATTTTATACTACATTTGCACTTGATTGGAAATGCCCAGTACAATGCCTTTTCATTCACTGCAACAAGAAAAAAAAAAAGAATGCAGCAATGGAATATAAGGCAAAAAAGATGTCAGAATTTTTTTAATTTCAATCATTTTTTTTTAAAGATAATATTCAACTCATTCCTCCCACTGTTTTCTTTTTAGTAGCAATACCTGTCACATTTTTCTCAAGACTTAGAGCATTTAAAAATCATTAAGGTACACTATCCTTGTTACAGTTTCCTGAAGACTCATTTTCTATGTCTACATATCCTGCAAATCTTATAAATACCTTTCTCAATTCAGTCCCTAAAAATCAGAAAACCCCTCAAATAAAAGAATCCGATGATGATATTTCCTTCTAAAATTCTCTTAATTCCAACCATCTCTTCAGCCACTTCTAATGGATTTCCCAAATCTAAATCATTTTCTATGTCTACATATCCTGCAAATCTTATAAATACCTTTCTCAATTCAGTCCCTAAAAATCAGAAAACCCCTCAAATAAAAGAATCCGATGATGATATTTCCTTCTAAAATTCTCTTAATTCCAACCATCTCTTCAGCCACTTCTAATGGATTTCCCAAATCTAAATCATTTTCTATGTCTACATATCCTGCAAATCTTATAAATACCTTTCTCAATTCAGTCCCTAAAAATCAGAAAACCCCTCAAATAAAAGAATCCGATGATGATATTTCCTTCTAAAATTCTCTTAATTCCAACCATCTCTTCAGCCACTTCCAATGGATTTCCCAAATCTAAATCATTTTCAAAGTTTAAGCACCATTTTCTTTCTTATGAGAAGCAGGGAATATCTGTCATCCTTGAGTGTGGTTTCCCCTTTCAGTAACCTCAAACAACATATCCCTGAGAAGACCATCTGATTTTTAACCGAATTTAAATTGTAAAATGTAAATAAAGTAACTAAAACAGGTTATTTCTACCTATGTTTGTGAACTCTGGGTGGTCTCACAGCATTGCGGTCAAATAACTCTGCTTCTTCCTCATCTGTGGAGTTTGCCTCTCCATTTACTAGCAGCATCTCCATAGACTCAGAATTATTGTGTAATTCTTTTTCATCTTCTTTTCCTAGAGAAAAAATAATATTGTTATTCATTATTCTGAAAATTATATAAATTCGTGTATATGTATTTATGTCAAATACATTTTGCCATAACATCAATCAAATGGATACTTTTTTACTATAATAGTAGTGAAAATATTTATAACAGTAATTTTTACTGTATATTTATTCTGTTATTGTGTCACCTGTCACCTTTTCTGCCTCTCTTCTGTCTGTTTGTTTCTTTGTTTGTTTGCTGGTTTGTTTATTTGTTTGTTTGTTTGATTATCTGTCCGTCCTTCAGGTTATCCTTCTGTCCTCTCTGTCTGTGTGTCTGTCTGCCTGTCTGCCTGTGTGACTGTCAGGTTGTCATTTTGTTCTGTCTGTCTCGACTCTCTTTCTTTTTCCCATTTCAATATTCTCGTCTATGCACACAATAGTTCATCCATTTCACTACTCATTCACCATCATTAGACTTTACTAGAAAAATAGTCTCTGCTACCAGCTTTCCTCTGCCATTTCCAACAGGCATAATTTTAAAAAAATCCTAGAAAATAAGAGATGTGGCAGATAATAAGAGGTTCATTTTCTGGGATCTCTGAATCTCACAGTGTTACTGGAGACAGGAGAAGCATGCTGGTAGCAGGGACCTGGTAACACTTATGTCCGAGACTCCAGGTGATACTGGGAATAGAAGAAACATGCTGCTAATACAGGGCAGTGTGCGTTTCCAGTAATCTCTGATATTCTGGGTGACAGATATGTACTTACTATGAACAGCTTTTAATATCACATGTAACGCTATTCCAAACAGACATATCACAAGTCCCAGGAAATTGATGGGATTCATCTTGTCACCAAATGTGATGTGCGCAAGGACTATTGTACAAATTTCCTGGGATGAAAAATACGAAAAAATTATTAATTTCCTTCAGTTATTAGCTATTACTAAAGTATTATACCTGTATTTTCTACTATTTTGCAAATTTCCTGAATAAAACAGGACATCATATTTATTCACCTCTGTCTGTAAGTAGTTGTTACAATGGTGTCATAACTGTATCATTACTTTTTTGCAAAGACTTTCAACAACATAACTGAAACCAAAAATGCATAAATAACACTGAGTTCACACAGAAATATCAATAAGTTTTTTTTTATTTTTTAGTGACATAATTATTAATTATGCCCACCAATGATTTTAATTTGTATTGTAAAAACAAAAATTAGAGCCCAAATATTGGCTTATAACTTATAAAACATAATTTTGTTAAGAATTTTGAATAAGGAGCATGTCTTGTCATTTCCTGAACAATTTATTTCTTGCTTTACAAAGGTCTGACACAACGTGTATTTGGAACTTACTTTAAATATTCCTGATATGGAAAGAGTTAACCCTGAGGTTCTGGATAAAAGTAAAAATTCACTAAACTCCAACATGAAGGCCAGGAAAGCCCCTCCTATTACTATACCAGCTGATGTCAGAATCTCACTGATTTCATGAAACCTGAACAGATGATGGGAACTGGCTAGTGGAACACCTGTAATATGAACCACAAATCATTAATAGTTTGAGGATAGGCCCATAGCCAGCAATTTCAAAAGGGGGGTTCTTTTTCGGAAAAAAAATGGACCTTTTACCATACAACTTCATGCATCTAAATGAAATTTTACCCAGAGGGGACCTTTTCCTGGCAGAAAGGAATCTTATTTATTATTTTGATTATTATATAGATAGTCTTAAATTATTTGCTGGTAAGTTTTTCTCTGGTCTCAAGAGCATCATCAACACCCAACAACCAGTGGGCTTCCAGCTTGGTGATGCTCTTGTGACGAGGGCCAAACATAGATGTTTTACTAAATTCTGTTCCAAAGTAAGTGATTAAATATCAGTAAATTCCTTAGAGTTATGAAAAATTTTATTGATATTAAATTATTATAATTATAATTATTATTATTACCTTCCACATAAGAAGACAAAGGCAGCAGACCTATGATCATCCATGGCTGAATGTGATACATCATATCTAGAGGATTACTTAAACCTGGAACAAGATGATACCTAGCTGCTTTACTCTCTCTCTCTCTCTCTCTCTCTCTCTAAAAGACACTGCGTCGAGTATAAATAAAAAATTTGTGATAAATCAGAGAGAGAGAGAGAGCTGTCATTCTTTGCTCAAAAAAAAATTAAAATTCTAGTATTTAAGACACCTCAAAATGAAAAAAAAAACATCAGTCAAAACTTTACAGGTGTTTCCAACACATATTGGCCATAGTGATCAAAGTTCCCTCTAAAAAACCTCATACCTATTTCACTTTTCTGCGTGACCACTTGTGAAAGTGTCCACCGGAAGCCACTTGTAAAGGCTGCTGTCAGCACCAGTAAAAATCCCGTCCAGTTAAACTGTGTGGAATGGAATGTAAATAGCACCAGCCCTACCGAGATAAACAGCACCACAAACACCAGGGAAAATCTCTGAAATAAACAACCATTTTTAAATACAGGAAACCCAAATAATTTACTCAGAGAGTCTAGATATGACTGTCGTTTTCATAATAATATATAAAATATCATCAAGAATACATTTTTCACTGTAAGCTTAGATATCAAACAAAAAGGACAAATTTTTCTTCTAATATCTATAACAAAGAGAATCGATTTTGTCATCACGGATCTAAATCTTTAACAGAAAATGCTAAAGTAAATTAAAATGCTGAAGTACAGTTTAATTCACTTTTTTAAATATCATATGATTCATATGTATAACAAATTGCAAAGAGCTACAACATATACCACATTATGCATGAAGATCTGTTACATAACAACGTTATCAAAATCAATAACTGTCTGAAAGTCACCAGCACACTCATAGATAGATACAGTGCCATATGATATAAAAATCATGAGGTGCTGTTACAAAACAGACCAGCATACAGTACTTACACATTTCTCTAGTTTCATTAATATTGAGAAGGTCAGGATGAATATAATTGCTGTGGACTTCACCATTGTGTACCTGAAATAGGGGTTTATTCACTGGATTTGAATGGGCTTGAACTGAACATACTACTTAAAGACATACAGACTACTGGTTAGACTGTTATAATATAGTAGAACAACTTGTTTTCCTGGAAATTTCAACAGGTTTTCTCAACAATCAAGAAATATTCTAGCTANACAAAATACATTTAGGTTCTTGCATTATTGAAAACCTACTTGCCCCACTCCAGGGGCGGGAAGGCCTTTTGAAAATCTAATTTGCATCAGGCAAGTGATATGTGGGCAAGTTGATGACTTAAATTCCAGTTGCTTAAATTAATGCAGAAATCATGTGCAGCAGGCAAAGTAACACCAACAGGTAGATGTACCTCAAGCCCTAAGTTATTATTATTATTATTATTACATTACTGTTATCAAACATGTTACAATAATTGTGAGGGCAACACATATTTGTTTTTCTTTTCTTTATATATTGCCTATTTAAGCAGTTACAATTCACAATGACAGACTTGCTGAAACTGTCAGTCCGATCGGTCATGACCGGGAAAATTTTTCTGGACTGGTAAAAAATTGGACTTGGTTGGTCCAAAGGACCGACAAGAGTTTTAAGAACCACAATTTTGAATTTACATTCATTATTCGACATATTTCACCAATAAAATTATATAAAACCCAAAGCCTTTTTCCCCTCCATTTAAAACCTATCACATCCACAAACAAAGTAAGCTACCCTAATCGTACTGGTAGTATCAGTCTCGACAAATAGGGTGATTTTTGGTCCAACAAAAATCCATTTGGTCCAGCCAATTTTTCATTACTAGCTGCCAGTCCAAATGTCCGGCCATTCTGAAAAGTTTTCAGCATGTCTGCAATGAGGATGCCTCAATACTAGAACATGACTGGTACAAAGTACTGGTACATCCACCTGCGCTTTAGGTGTGTCTGATGAAACCTTACACATCTGCTACTTAATTACTACTTAAAAGTAGTCAGTAGCAGATGTGTAAGATTTCATCAATTAAAATTACCTGGGGAACTAGCAAAGTGGCAAAGGAAGATCTAGTTAATAACATCGAGACACACAGCAGCAAGCTCTCGCTTTTATTTATTATTATTATTATTATTATTATTATTATTATTATGAAACAAGCTCTGGCTTTTATTTTATATATTTTTCTATGAGGTTTTACATAAAACTTCCAAACATACCGTAAAGATATGACTTTCCAGTAAACTTACCGTGAATACCTTCTTGTTGTAGAGAGTAAGACCGATCGAAAACGTATAATAAAAGAGAACTAAGCCTACGGTACGGAGGGCATAAAAACAATATTCTCGACTGCATATCGACTTCTTCACCAGTTCCGCTTTTGGCTCTACTAAGTCCTCCAGTTTCTGAAGTTGCTGAAGTTTGTTTTTCCGCATTATATTGCCTGGGTTTCAGCTCATAATAATAAATACAATTTAATTAACCAGCGGAATGGCGTTAGTAAAACACCTGGACAGACGCAAACATCCCATTTAACAACATTACTCGCCAACACGACACTTAGACAGGTTTCCAATTGGTTCCGATATAAGATGCTAATTTCTTTATAACTGAAATATGTTTAATTTGTGTATCTAACCAATAAAAATATCAAATACATCATATGTTAATAAAATTTTCTTTGTGGATGATAACTGATGGCAGTTGATTGGTTATTCACTATGCAATAACAATGAATGTGTAAGCTTTATATTGTGGAACTAGTCAAAAGAAACCGATAAACTTCCGCATTATGACCTCGTTCCCGTTGACAAGTAAGCCAGTAAAATTAAATTGTTAGGCAATCATTGGATAATGGTCAATCATATAGATGCTGATTACTAAACAATAATTCTACAGAATAGCTTTTTTCGTGTTAATAAGGGAAAAAAATAGACAAACATTGGAAATTTGCACCCATCCCCCCACACAAAATGTTGACAGCCAGTGGGGAGCATAGCAGGCCGCTCACCTAACACAATTCCTCCACTGTGACTTGCCATTATAATATACAGACAGCGAGTGGAACACGACTTACCAAGATTTTCTTTTAACTTTGAACAAAAAAAAGTGGGAGGGGGCAAAGTGATTTTCAGTTGGCAGAAAAGTAAAAAAGCGACGGGGTAGGGTGGATGACAAAAATGTGTGGCATGGATGTCTTTAGATAACATCAAAAGGTAGAAACTTTGTGCAGACCACAAAAACATTCCTCAGACATGTTAATTGATTTTAATGTTGATTTCTATGGAGTCGCGGGCATGAGCACGAGGCTCGTATTTGCATCGTTATTGCTCTTATCTAACTTTATTTGCTCTTATCTAACATTAAGGTAATTTAAAATGGCGCTGTCTGTCGCCCCGATGTCTTGCATAACACCAAGCAACGTCCTGGGAATAAATAGTTTTGATTTTGTAACTAAGCTGTGGTGTTGAGTTACTTTTTCTCTCAAGTCGAGAATCGTGAACCAAAGTCGGATTTAAGTCCCTTTGAGTAAAATATACCCCACGGTATTCTATCAAAGTCAGAACAGGCCCATCACGCAATTTGAGAAAAAATCCCCCCCTTGTGTAGGCCCTATACAGCAAACTTCTTTATTATATAGTTTCTTCACTGTAACATATGCATCCACCTGGAATGGATGAAAGAGGGTACGATTACAAAATTCAGTGCACTTGTGTTTAGACACGTGTTGTTGTCCCTTCCTTGTTCGGGGTGAGATCGATTACGTAAGACACCTGACAAATACTGTGGCCCTGAACTACCAACCAAGGTCATGCTGAAGTCCCTGACCTTATAGAACAGCTCTTAATGTGAAGGACAGCTTGTGTGTATTATTCTCCAAAGGTGAGGGGCGGGGTTAATAACCTTGAGTCCCACACACCGCGAAAAGTGAGGGACACGGCACAACCACATTCATGAATTTTTAACTCGGCTGTTGGAAATGCGTCTCACAATATATAGGCCTACAATGCATGTCCTCACGTCTATCTTAGAATTACAACTCTTAGTACTGTAAATGCACCATTCAGCGATAAACTGAAAAGTAAATATAAATATCTCCTGTTTGTCAGTGTTACTGTACGTTAAAGTGGGCTAAAGTGGAGGAGGACAGGTCGATTGAATCGGCACAAAGACACCGGACAAGCATGTTCAGAGATTAGCGATCTAGTTGTCTCAGTTAATCTTTACTTTTATTTATTTGTTCTTCTTTCTTTTTTAATTGTTTAATTAGTTTAATAGATGGCAGGGGGATAGAAAAATTATAATAGCCTGGCTATTAGTTAAAAGAACCTGGTAAACGGAGCCCCAGCGCTAGACAATGCCAATTAACCGCAGTGATTTCGCTTGGTCCAAACTGAAGGACATGAACTGTGTAAAGGAGCCGCAATCCTCGTATCGTATTGTCTCAATGTCGACACACGTACCGCACAATGTAAAACGATCAACCTTAGAACTAGTACTCTCTACCAGGGTGGCAGATATTATAGACGCATTTAACATATTTCCACAGAGAACCAAATTCTCTCTCTCTCTCTCTCATATTTTCATATGTTCTCTCTCATATCATCCCTCTCTCTCTCTCTCTCTCTCTCTCTCTCTCTCTCTCACACACACACACACACACACACACACATTTTCATATTTTCTCTCTCATATTATCCCCTCTCTCTCTCTCTCTCTCTCTCTTTCATTTTTTCATATTTTTTCTCTCATATTTTTTCTCTCATATTATCCCTCTCTCTCTCTCTCTCTCTCTCACGAAGACTTATTTAACTACTGCATTGTTGTGATTATATATCAGCAAAAATTGGACCAGCCAATCCACGTGGAATGTGAACTTGTCACAACTGATCACTGGTGCAAAAGCACTAACACCCTAGCACAGTTAACTGACATTAACACACACGCTTATTAAAATATTATTTCATTGACTATACCAACGTTAGAATAACATTTGGGAATAACGGAAGGAAAAGTGCGACGAATGCTTCATAAAGGTCTCCATGACATTCCGGCGATCACATGAGCCTCGCGTGACAACGTGAACTTAAAATAAAGAGGACGATTCAACCATGTGCAACAATGTATAACACCTAGTACGATGGTCATGCACTTTAACAGAGCTCACATATGTGCTATATAACTAGCAATTATCTGTCAGTTCTCCTGTGTTTGCAATTTTCACGACCCGTTGTCAAATTCACCAATTTTCTTGTCGAGCGAATTTGATTGGTTTCTTTTCTTTTTTTATTTATCTACCTATCTTCTTTGTGTTGATTTATTCATGAGTTGATTCGTCTATTTATTGACCTGTTTATTGATTTATTCTTTTGTTTATTTTACTTCATCTCTTTATTCATTTCATATATCTGCCCNTGGTTTTCAGCTCATAATAATAAATACAATTTAATTAACCAGCGGAATGGTGTTAGTAAAACACCTGGACAGACGCAAACATCCCATTTAACAACATTACTCGCCAACACGACACTTAGACAGGTTTCCAATTGGTTCCGATATAAGATGCTAATTTCTTTATAACTGAAATATGTTTATTTTGTGTATCTAACCAATAAAAATATCAAATACATCATATGTTAATAAAATTTTCTTTTTGGATGATAACTGATGGCAGTTGATTGGTTATTCACTATGCAATAACAATGAATGTGTAAGCTTTATATTGTGGAACTAGTCAAAAGAAACCGATAAACTTCCGCATTATGACCTCGTTCCCGCTGACAAGTAAGCCAGTAAAATAAAATTGTTAGGCAATCATCAGATAATGCTGATTACCAAACAATAATTCTACAGAATAGCTTTTTTCGTGTTAATAAGGGAAAAAATAGACAAACATTGGAAATTTGCACCCATCCCCCAACACAAAATGTTGACAGCCAGTGGGGAGCATAGCAGGCCGCTCACCTAACACAATTCCTCCACTGTGACTTGCCATTATAATATACAGACAGCGAGTGGAACACGACTTACCAAGATTTTCTTTTAACTTTGAACAAAAAAAAGTGGAAGGGGGCAAAGTGATTTTCAGTTGGCAGAAAAGTAAAAAAGCGACGGGGTAGGGTGGATGACAAAAATGTGTGGCATGGATGTCTTTAGATAACATCAAAAGGTAGAAACTTTGTGCAGACCACAAAAACATTCCTCAGACATGTTAATTGATTTTAATGTTGATTTCTATGGAGTCGCGGGCATGAGCACGAGGCTCGTATTTGCATCGTTATTGCTCTTATCTAACTTTATTTGCTCTTATCTAACATTAAGATAATTTAAAATCACGCTGTCTGTCGCCCCGATGTCTTGCATAACACCAAGCAACGTCCTGGGAATAAACAGTTTTGATTTTGTAACTAAGCCGTGGTGTTGAGTTACTTTTTCTCTCAAGTCGAGAATCGTGAACCGAACTCGGATTTAAGTCCCTTTGAGTAAAATATACCCCACGGTATTCTATCAAAGTCAGTAGAGGCCCATCACGCAATTTGAGAAAAAAAATCCCCCTGTTGTGTATACAGCAAACTTCTTTATTACATAGTTTCTTCATTGTAACACATGTATCCACCTGGCTGGATGAAAGACGGTACGATTACAAAATTCAGTGCACTTGTATTTAGACACGTGTTGTTATCCCTTCCTTGTTGATGTGAGATGGGTTATGTAAGACACCTGACAAATACTGCGACCCTGAACTACCAACCAAGGTCATGCTGCAGTCCCTGACCTTATAGAACAGTTCTTAATGTGAAGGACAGCTTATGTGTATTATTCTCCACAAGGTGAGGGGCGGGGTTAATAACCTTGAGTCCCACACACCGCGAAAAGTGAGGGACTCGGCACAACCACAGTCATGAATATTTAACACGGTTGTTGGAAATGCGCGTCTCACAATATATACAATGCATGTCCTCACGTCTATCTTAGAATTACAGCTCTTAGTACTTTAAATGCACCATTCAACGATAAACTGAAAAGCAAATATAAGTATCACCTGTTTGCCAGTGTAACTGTACGTTAAAATGGGCTAAAGTGGAGGAGGACAGGTTGGTTGAATCGGCACAAAGACACCGGACAAGCATGTTCAGAGATTAGCGATCTAGTTGTCTCAGTTAATCTTTACTTTTATTTATTTGTCCTTCTTTCTTTTTTTTAATTGTTTAATTGGTTTAATAGATGGCAGGGGGATAGAAAAATTATAATAGCCTGGCTATTAGTTAAAAGAACCTTGTAAACGGAGCCCCAGCGCTAGACAATGCTAATTAACCGGAGTGATTTCGCTTGGTCCAAACTAAAGGACATGAACTGTGTAAGGGAGCCGCAATCCTCGTATCGTATTGTCTCAATGTCGACACACGTACCGCACGATGTAAAACGATCAACCTTAGAACTAGTACTCTCTACCAGGGTGGCAGATATTATAGACACATTTTACATATTTCCACAGAGAACCAAATTCTCTCTCTCTCTCATATTCTCTCTCTCATATTTTCATATTTTCTCTCTCATATTATCCCCTCTCTCTTTCATTTTTTCATATTTTCTCTCTCATATTTGTTCTCTCATATTCTCTCTCCCTCTCTCTCTCTCTGTAATTTTTTCATATTTTCTCTCTCATATTTGTTCTCTCATATTCTCTCTCCCTCTCTCTCTCTGTAATTTTTTCATATTTTCTCTCTCATATTTGTTCTCTCATATTCTCTCTCTCTCTCTTTTCATATTTTTTCTCTCATATTTTTTCTCTCATATTATCTCTCTCTCTCTCTCTCTCTCTCTCTCTCTCTCTCTCTCTCTCTCCTACGAAGACTTATTTAACTACTGCGTTGTTGTGATTATATATCAGCAAAAATTGGACCAGCCAATCCACGTGGAATGTGTACTTGTCACAACTGGTCACGGGTGCAAAAGCACTAACACCCTAGCACAGTTATTTGACATTAGCATACACGTTTATTAAAATATTATTTCATTGACTACACCAACGTTAGAATAACATTTGGGAATAACGGAAGGAAAAGTGCGACGAATGCTTCATAAAGGTCGCCATGACATTCCGGCGATCACATGAGCCTCGCGTGACAACATGAACTTAAAGAGGACGATTCAACCATGTGCAACAATGTATAACACCTAGTACGATGGTCATGCACTTTAACAGAGCTCACATATGTGCTATATATATAACTAGCAATTATCTGTCAGTTCTCCTGTGTTTGCAATTTTCACGACCCGTTTGTCAAATTCACCAATTTTCTTGTCGAGCGAATTTGATTGGTTTCTTTTCTTTTCTTTTTTTTCTCTACCTATCTTCTTTGTGTTGATTTATTCATGAGTTGATTGGTCTATTTATTGACCTGTTTATTGATTTATTCTTTTGTTTATTTTATTCCATCTCTTTATTCATTTCATATATCTGCCCATTTTTTTTTTCACTTTTTTCTTTACTTCACCAAAATTTCAACCTTGAGAGAAAGTTGACCTACAGTTAAAATGTGAACAAGTTAATATGCAGTGCTATGACATCCAGTAACTACCTCTACTATCCTGTCCTTATATCTCACCTGGGTCACCATGTTTTTATCACAATGACTCAGCGGCTTGTATAAAAGAACCATCTACCAATTTGGAGACGGAAGTATTTTTCTCATTCAAACTTCTATTTCAGGGTTAAAGAAAAAACATCTTAAGTCTATATTTGGTATCATAGACAGTGATAGAAAAACTTTCTTTGTAGCACGGTTGTGCTAGAAATGTATCAGGTGAAGCTGCACTAATGGTTTTATTTGATATCCGGCCTGAGGTTATTGACGCTCACCCCCATTTTTACCTTGTTTGGAATGTTCCCAATGAGACGCAAGCATCACATAGTACCATTGCTCTGACTGCCAAATCTTCTAGTTTTACTATACTGTATTACAAAGAGCGCGTAATTCTGACGGAACGGGTATGGTTAAAACTGAAAAGCTCGTTTTCGTAATAAAGGAGGTTGTGAATAAAGCGAAAACGAGTTCATCGTGCGGGTTTTGTTCCTTTATGTCAGGTCGCTCAGTGAAATGTCAAGGCACGCATCACGGGGGTATCATGCGTGTAAATGAGGGGGCGATAGCACCTATATAAACGTAATTTCATTTCTTCATTATTTAATAGTGATAACTTCTGAACCCGAAAGAGATCAAGTAACTCTTACCTTTAAGCAGTTAAAGCGTTCAGTTACCAGAGGAATGCTTTGAATAAATAGCTGGACATCGTCCGTAAAACGAGTCAGAATAAGCCCAGTTCAAATGGCCGCTAAGGACAGTTTCACAGATGGCTGTGTGCAGGCCGGGGGGGCATTGCTTCACTTTTTTATGGTTTTTACCTGTGTCTTCATCGGTGTGTCTTTGGCTAAATTTTTTCTCGATCATTTTCCAAAGAGCGACAGAAACAAAGATCGCAGGACACAGCGTCGATTGCCGCCCGGACCGAGGGGCTGGCCGATTCTTGGTCATCTGCCATACCTGGGCTCTCACCCTCACCAGGTGTTAGCGAGATGGAGGGAGAATTACGGAGACATTTATAGAATACGCATGGGAAGCAAAACTGTCGTTGTGGTGAACGGGCTGGCTGCTACGCGACACGTTCTGCTAGACAGACGCGGAGAGTTTGACGGCCGGGCAAGCCTCCTTAGCTTCAGTAGTATCTGTGACGGGGCATCCCTGACAAATAACCGCGACTATGGAGTAAGTGACGTCCAAAGAAAAATCGCAGTCCGTGCCTTAAACGCTGTTATGAAGGACAAACAAAATCTTGAGGAACTGATAAGTAAACAAGCCGATAATTTGGTGAAAAACATTTTGAAAAACGAAGAAAGACCATACGACCCTGCGTCTGACTTTTTAACTGCTGTAAGTTCGGTGATTTTCGCGCTTGTCTTTGGGTGTGGCCGAGCTGGAAATTTAGATGAACAATTTATGAATATGTTAAAATCTGTAAGAAATTTTACTGATTTTTGCAAAGCTGGAAATCCAGCCGATTTTTTCCCGTGGCTTGAACCATTTATGCGGGAGCGAATGAGGAAGTTTAAAGCCATGGCTGACATGTTGCCTCGTATCTGCCATCGTCTGTTGCAGGAACGATGGTTAACTTCTTACACACCGACGCTGTCGCATATAACCCCTCCCCGTGACGTTATGGACGTCTTAATCAATTACGTTACAACATCATCTGACGCCAGACGAACAAAAAAGCTCGCTGACGCCCACGTGTTTAATTTACTATCTGACATAGTAGGTGCTGGGTTCCATACAACATCCACCGCCCTCAACTGGGTGACGCTCTGTCTGGTCGCCTTTCAGGACGCTCAGCGGAAGGCGCAGATAGAGATCGATTCCGTGATCGGAAAATCGCGAGAGCCTCGCACCGACGACATGGACAAGACGCCTTACGTCATGGCGATGATTCACGAGGTACTTCGTTTCCGACCGGTCTTGCCTCTGAGTCTCCCCAGGGCTACGACCAGAGAGGTGGTCCTCGGTGAATTCTATATCCCCGATGATACAATGGTCTTAATCAATTACTGGTCTGTATGTCACGATAGTAGCGTCTGGACTGACCCGGACCTTTTCAAACCTGAACGCTTTCTGCGGACAGACGCCGCTGGACGGACGACCATTGATAATGAACTCAAAGAACGCGCGACGACATTTTCTGTTGGAAAACGTAAATGCTTGGGTTATGCCTTGGCGCTGAAGGAACTTTTCATAATGGTCACGGCACTGTTACAAAAGACGTATATTTTACCAGAAGAGGGGGAAGATTATGAGGAAGCTCTGAAAGGAGAGTTCGGTTTGGCTATGACTCCAAAGCCTTATAAAGTAAGGTTTTGTCAAAGATCGTCGTTATAAGATGAAAAAACTGACTGCCAGTAAAAATGTGGTCTCAGACTTGCGGGAAAATCCGTATCTGAATTTAAATTATGTTAGCGCTTCGTATTTAGACGGAATTTTATTTGTTTTTTATTCTCTTGAAATGGCATTTAATATGAGCAATATTTTCCGCATATTACTTTGAAGAGGAACAGTATTTCCAATAATTTATATGTTATTTTTAAATAATTAAAATATTGCACTAAAATGTAAATAATTCTAAAAATAATAATAGCGCTTTATACGTGTATTAAGACCAAAATTTGCATAATTAATTTAATTTATATTTTGTAAAATATGTGTTTACTACAGCGGCAGAAGTGCGGAGAGATAACATAAGTTTAATGGGAATGATAATTGGAAAAATCAATATAATGCATTATAACGCTGATTGTGCATAATAGGTCCTAATGTTTAAATTTGTTGATCAGTTCGTCAGGCAAATTTATTTAATAAAACTGATCAATAAAAAAGACTCACTGATGTTATGTACATAAATATTTTCAATTTATAATATTGTTACTAACTTCGGCCATAAACTATAAAATATTAATAGTAACTAGGAAATATCAGAAAGTAATAGTTATCTCAATTGTATTGTATTAACTGTCTGCCTTAGAAATGCTAGGATGCTCACCGAAGATGAAGGGTGGTACAGCCATATATATATATATATAGTACGAGAGAATCAATTAACTTCGCCCCCCCCCCCTCTCCCACTAAACCATGGCCAGTACGTGAATATCTGTAGTTTTTTTTTTTTTATCACCCCACTTTTGTCCTTTATGGGTAAAAATTCTGGCAAAGCAGAAAATTACAGTAGCAAGAAATATTATTTTTATGATTTATAAATGTTGCAAATTTGGTCGCGGTTCAGATATACTTCCCATTAAAATCAGTGTTGAGTTTGAATTCGCTTACGACTTTTATCATTGCACAGAAACTCGTTTTAGATGAATTTTGAAATTTGATGTATTTATCCTCTCAGTACGTACTTTCATATTTTGACATATGAGTCAAAAACTGATTAAGGTAACTGTTTCTTACTGGATATATTTTAATCGCAAAAGGCATATTGATTACGAAATATCGTTATTTTGTTATAAAACTCCGCTATCTGAACCTAAAATGTGACGCGACGGGTAGAGGCCAGTACGGCATGTAAATATTAAGGCAGCGTGCGTCATAATGAAAAAATTCCGTTCTTTTATCGCACTGTCTGCAAAACTCAAAGGTTATAAGCTCACAGGATATTTTTAGAAAAAAATGTCATTCAGAAAAGATCTCACGTTCCTCTGCAGCAGACAATGCAGGTTAAGTGCAGATAGGTGGTCGATGACAACAGATTTGGGATTTTAAAAAAGTCGTTTATATTTTTATATCGAATGTTTCTATGTTGAGGGGTTCATATTTAAGACAGCATTATTCACAGCATATCGTAGTCATAAAAGCTCCAGTTAATTTGAAAGAAATAAAAAAGTGACACATAATCACGATGATTTTTTTAAATTTTAATTTGTATCAAAAGTCCCCATGTAGATGAACGTGTCCTTCGTGTATTTACACGTACACACATCGCCTAAATTAATGGATGCATCACAGATATGCCTTCCACTGACAACAGCTAAAATAAATTAAACTTATCTCAAATTTATTTTAAGAAGGGACAACAAAATAATTATTTGAAGTTCAAAACACAAATTTGATAAAAATGATGACTTAGGTATCTTTTGGTTTGATGACATTTTACCAGTGTGCAACTTGTAGNTCAGATTCATGTAAGCACGAGCTGTACCGGAATTGGAATTAGGCTATGTGGGAAATGTAACTGGTGACGGAGCAAACGTTTGTATGTAATATTGTATCGTCTGTACACAGGCAGAGGCACATCGACTCATTCCTATTTATAAATAAATGATTTGGTGTTTGAAGATGAAGTGGTTTTATTCGTTGAGAGTTATTAGACGATAAATAATTTATATACGTTTAAGCGTAAGCGAATTAGAATATAATTTGTATTCGGCAAGCTCGATATTCTCATCAACCCCTATATTTTTCTGACCCGCTACGGTAATTTTGTACTTCTTTTATGTTACTTAAATATGTTTTGCAATATAATTTTGCTGAACAAATTCAAAATATGCTGTTTTTTATTCTGGTAAATCACCTAACGTACTAAACCTATTTTGACAGACTAACTTGTACATTACTTTGAGGCCCGACCACCGTCAAATCCCTACCCTTATGTGTGGAAATATATTGAATACACTGTTCCTAAAACCCTAAATTTTAATTTAAGTTTAATTTAAGTTTTTATACTCCCGATATGTGTGCTCGCACGTGTCTGTTTGAGTGCCTGCATTTGTGCACTAAAATAACGTAGTCAGCTCCACTAGGGTTGTTTAAATATATTGAAAATATGGTCCTTTTTACCATCTATTTTTTCACAGACAGAAGTTTATATGGGGCTTAGATCACCACATACTATTCTGAAATCATTTCTTTCAAGAAATCGCGTTAATGTATTCTGAGGTTTTCATAAAGGTGTTTAATCTATTTGGCCAGACAGGTAATGTCACCTGGTGCGCTACTCGCTGGTCTATATATATTTTTTTGTGGTTAAGATTAGAAAGACTTCCTGGCCTTCGCCTTAATAGATCGTTCACGTGAATCACAGCGTGGGCGAAGGCGAAGGCCTCCATGTAATATGTAGTCTACATGCATTTGAAAACGTCCCAAAGCCATTTTTAAGCCTAAATATCCTGCAAAGTTGGTTTTCTCTCACAACGTAGGCAATAAGAACGAAAAGTACGCCAGGTACGCTATGTCAAGGCTTGCTTCAGAAATGTCAAGGAGAAATGGCGGTCTAAATAATTCTTGATTAGTTTCAGAACTGAGGTACTTAAAGAATCGCCCCCAAGTGCACAGACGGGTCGAGCAATGATTTGCCAGCCGGATAAATTATTATTTTATCGAGGAAAATTAGATTTGTCGCGAAAACATGTAACTAACTGTCTGGAGTCTGGAATCTGGAATCCGTGTAGATATTGACTGAGATGCATGTTCCAGTAGAACAGCCTTCGATTATCTGCTGAGCATCTATTTGCATCTATTTTCAAACTGATTTATAAATTACCTTTTTATTTTCTGAGATATTAGTTTATTTGTTTATTTATATTCATTAATTAATTAACCTACTGAATAAGTTATCTCTTTATCTATTGTTTTACACCATTCATTTGGTAAGTTATCAATCAAGCAGTAGTTATTTCTTAAGTTTTTATTATTTTTTTCAGTTAAATTATTAATAAACCTTTCTGATGTTGGATTCCCCTGCTCCTAGACTTTCACGTACCACGGTGACCGAGTTGCACTTTACCAGTGGCGTTAAGGTAAACACGTGCTACACGTGCTTCAGTTTCACGTGTTGACTGACCCACTCACCGCATTCTTTTCAAGTGTCAAAAACTGGTCTTTTATATGCACAGGCGTAGGTGTTAAGGACAAGAGGAGCTTAGGTAATGCTTCCCCCTCCCGCACCCCCCCTCCCCCCACCTCCACTCAACACACAAAAATCTTACTTAGTATGCACCTATTCCAGCTAGGTTCTCTCCAAGCAAATTTAAAACATTTTAAAATGGCATCAGAATACCAAGTTTGTCTATCTTAACGCAAAGATGCACGTTCTTTTTAAAAATTTTAATGTAATCGCCTTATGTGCCGTGCGTTATAGGATTATGTGTTGTAATATTTTACAGCTGATGTGACAGTAGGCTAATGGTAGTCAGCTAGGAGCCGTAGTCCGCCCCCCCCCCCCTTACATGTGATATTTGTCCTATACACTAACCCCAATATTCCAACTAACACTAACCTGTAGTAATCATATGGGAGCCCGGGCTTCCATTCCTAGGACTACCATTCCTGTCACACCTGTCACACCTGTCACACCTGTCAAGGTGATCAAATGTGTGCTTACTGGAGGTCAACTGGTGCACAACAGGAGGAACAGCAACATTCTCCTCACACCTTCCGCTTTCACCACATATCTGGTGTCCAGTGCTCACTTTCTCAAAAATAATTTTCGGTCGGTTTTATCCTTTTCAAAAAAAAAAATGAATTGGCAGAGAAAGATAGCTTTGCAGGATTTGTAGGCAAAGAAAATATCACTTTGGGACATTTTGAAACGCTGATAGTACATCTTGAAATGGGTCATTTGAAAAAACAAGATAAATATAAAAAAACCGTAGTTGCCATTTGTCAAAGTACACAAGTCAAAATCTGCGTAAAATGTTAACCTTTAATTTGACATCAATACAATTTACTCACCATTTGGAAGAAAAGAAAACCGCTCTTATATTTGTCAAAAGTTAAAAAAAGTGATTAAAACTTTGATTCTTGACTGGTTAGAAGGTGCAATGTCAGACACAAAAGAGGCCACTGGCCTAGCTTCGGCGTTGCCCGTTCTCTTTACCCAAGACAGATTAAAGAGTGCAGTTATACAAAACTAAGCGTTTCTCTGAACCCTATATATTATTGTCAAGAATACACGTTTACTGTTAAATATCTGGCTTAATTCTCTCGGTATTTTCACACCCTTGTTCTCTCACTCCTTAGCAAAAATTTGTATCCGTGAGATATGGTTGAGATTAATGTTGAATCTTTTAAAATCGTCAGATGATAAGCAAGATCGGTGCACGGCGAAAGATTGTGTTAGTTGCGAAGCGGTTGCGACGTGGTTGTGACGAGGTTGTGGTACGTGTGCATGAATATTTAAGCCTTCCATATGCTGCTCGTATTTTTCTTGAGGATTTCAATTATCAACCATGCCAGATTGCTAGAGTTAGTAGTATGAGGCAAGGAAAGAAATAAGTGCTTTAAGTATTTTTAGGTAGTTCTACCATGACGATGAAAAGTACATTGGAAGCCAAAGTTGAGATAAATCTTACTTCATTCTGTGGAATCTATACGTACTGTATAAAAATGCGCCTTTTTATTGCATAAAAATACGTACTTAAAATGATTAAACTGAAAATGTAGAATTATATCAAATTATTCTCAAGTGTGAGACATGTACAAGTGCAAACAAAAATGGATATTTATGTTGTAGTCTGCACATTTTCGATCACGATAATCAGTAAGTGGGAACAGTTTTTAAATCATCCAAGTTGTATGTAAAAACTGAGAATAGAACTGCTACTATTCTATGCTGCCTGTTTTCTTACTCTACAGTATATAAGAACTAAATCTCTCTTTCGTAACCAAACATCTCACTGTCCACTTTATAAACGTCCCATAATTTCTGCAAAAGGGATTCCGAGACATTTTTATAGTATTCTTTCCAAATGATGGAGCTGCTCGTATTTTGTCGGGATTTTGGGTACTGAATATCTTCATCCGCTCTCACCAACCGCAGTACATTGTTAGCGTCCTCTTCTATGGAGCTGTAGTGACCTATGACGTCATAGTTTACGTCACAGGGATTGCACAGTTTATGGTACTGCCTCCAGTGGCGGTCTAATTCAACTTTTTCGTTTTTGGCTTTTTTAACAATATACCGTGCATAACCGTCGTAGGAAATCCCTAGACCTGTTTTCAGGGCACCGAGGTTAATCTCTTTTTCAAATTTCAGGGCAATTTCACGCCCAACTCCGTGACTGTAATATTCGTTTCTGCCTTCCAATTTTGACTTGAACGCTGAAACGAGTCGTTCGAAAGGATGACGGACAAAAATCACTTTTAGGTAATTTTTAAGGCGAAACTCTATACCGTTGTCTGTGAATCCTTTGAGGGCGGGGATAAAGGGGCGAAGCGGCCCGTGGACACGCCCACCTTCGATTTTATTATAAATTGTTTTGTCAACGTTTCCATTAAGAGCTAGCAGCACACGGCGCCAATTTGTGCAGCCGATCTTCGGAATCTCACACCATATTATCCCATGACGATCGTCAACGAACATGAAGTCGGTGACAATGGACCGATTGAACATCTGTTGTTTGGCAGACGGTCTGACAGGGTGGTCATTGACACACGTCTGCTCAGCTGTCTGCCTTCGTGATTGGATGAGCTGTGCCCAGTCTTTTGGAACATCATCCCATGCATAAGTCGTACAGTCAGTCTGCAAAAAAAAATTGGCCAAATGATCACTGTTAAATTTGTGCTTATTATGAATACTGAAAACTACTCTAAGAGAAAAAATTAATTAGACGACAGATTTCGTTAATGATCTCTATTTAGAAGGCAGAAATTCAATAAGAACCTGCCCTCCCTGCAAACAAACGATACTTTTCAGGACTACTCAAAATCTCCAAGAAATCAACAAACGTCTCACTGGTACTTTCAATTAATAAGACCATAAACTTTCCCCAGAATACAGCTCCTTACATACATCTCCCATAATGAAAATAGTGCGTGCTGCGTGCGTTTTCCTATTATCAAGAAAAATCTCAATCTTTTTAAAATTACAAAATGGAAGAGAGGGATCCTACTGTTTACTTCGCATAAAAACGCGTTGTACAGGTACCTTGAAATACAAGATCGACAGTAGACATGCAAAGGCAGCTCAAACTGACGCTTTGTAAATGCAAAACATACCTTCAAACTAGGTACGATTTTCTCCTCTGACAGAAATGCCAAGTTTTTTGCTGAAACAAAATGAAAGTAGACAGTATAGGCTCTTTTTGTCTCCAAAAGATTTGTTATAATGGATAACATATCATCTTATAGGAAGCATTTTTCACATTTTTAGAAGAAGGATTGTGAGGCCTGGCATTTTAACACAAAATTCACACTGATTCACTACCAAACTTACCTGTTCCATAAAGTAAAAACAAGAAAACTAGACAGGGCAACAGTCCGATAATGATAACAGGCAGACGACAAATACTAAGCACAGAGGGGAGTCTCCATCTTAAGACCATATCCACAGCCGCGTTGCCTTCAAGCAACCTCCAACTTTTACGTGTTTCTCGGTGGTTTTTGTCGATCCGGGAACGCAGCTCTTAGGGTATAAATACGCTTGGAACTCGTCTTTCAGGCTTTTTCACCAAACCACCACAGTGAAGCAGGACTTCCAATAGATTTGCGTTCCGTACGTGTTGAATGTTCCTCCATGAACTAGCTCGACCTCTCTGGCGTGTATATTCATCACAGGTTGCAGAGATATATCTTTGTGGAGAAACACGATGTGAATGATCATGACTTACTTTTACGGTAGATAAAAGCGCCATTGTCTCTGACCAACGTGATAATAGCGGGTCGTCACGCGCCGTGATTGCGACAGAGGACGGGGAAGATAAAAACACAATCTTTATTCATTAGGGACACAAACAGAGGAGGACGTGGTGGGCACATGTCCGTTTCTGAGGTGCCCCTTTCTCCAAATATATAACGAGACAAACGAGGCAAACTCAAGCAATTCTCAGACTGCCCAGCATAAAATAGTATAATCGTCCTCGTTTACTGTTTTATATTTACCGATCGAGGTGAAGTAAATAAATTTTAATAAATTAAAAAAATTCCTTGCGTACCCTGTTCTTTAAAGTGCAGACTGTTCTCTGTTTGTTTATCAGCAAATGTGTACAATTATGTTTTAAATCGAGAATAAAGCTCTTGGCTGTATTAAAGTGTAGATCTCTGCTAAAAGCGAAAAAAATTAATACAACGATATAATCCTGAATGAATCCCTCTACCTCCAGCACACCGTACAACGTCGTCCCTGCTGTATTACGCTTTACAATGGCGTCTCTACCCGCCCGCCCCCCCCCCCCTCCACTCGTTAACCCCTGCAGTGATCAAATTGCGAAAAAATAGCTGTAAATGAGCAGAAATTATTCTATTTATTTTTAGACACCAGTCGTTCCCTCTTCATATTAGAGACGTTTTGGTCTATAATGAAGCTTCTGTCCCGGCATTCGCATCATATAATTATCGTTGTTATCTCTGTACGTGATAAATGTAACATGCACACTTCCATTGTAAGTGCAGTGTTGAAAGTTCAAGTGCATGTTAGCTTTTAACTGACTCCCCTTCTGTATCTTTCAGATGCTGACGAATCGTCTAAATCAAAGAATATCCCGAGTATAATAGATAAATAAATAAAGATATGTATTTTTTATATTTAATATATTAAATTCATTAACTCAACTTTCAACTAACACCCCATTTCCATAGATTAGATCGACCTACTTTAGATCGACCTAACTCCCTGGGGGTTCACGCTAAATAGCTGTCAGCCGGGCGGACACGAAAGTTAATTACCCCCTTACAGCTTGTAGTAGGCGGGACGGACATTTAAGTCGGATTATCTGAAAGTAATCTAGTGATACTCCCCGCGGGGATAGATCGATCTAAAATCTATGGGAATAGAGCTAAGATAATAAACTCGAGATGTGAAGAGAGAGAGAGAGAGAGAGAGAGTGAGTCAGTTATCAAGTCAATTAATAAATACCAACACAAAGACATGTTAAATTATTTTATTGAAACAGCCTTTGTAAATCTGAATGTACAATAAAGTGACCCACTAATACGCATTCCAAATCTAAATTTTGATTTGAAAAGGATAATCATATCTTAACCTGTACATTAACATTATAGCGCTGTATACATCCTCAGTGCTTTCAGAAATAAGGAAAATAAAATAAAATAAATCAACTTTAGATGATACCTATCTCCTATTCTAGTTGAGAAGCGTACTTCAGGTTTTATCTATATACATATATATCACTACATAGCAGCAAAACTCCAGTCACCGTGCTTTCAGAATATAAACTACATACAGGCACTTGCTCTATTTTCTTTACAAGTGTAGTAAAAGTGTACTTTAGTGTCTATGTGGTCTAGTCTACAAATTGGGTCATAATAGATCAGTACCAAAACTCAACCATTTTCTAATCTCAATTCACAAAGAGAACATAAATGCAAGTCTACAAGTGCTGTGACCAACCTGCTGACGACTGTCTCTGCACCTAAATACAAATAAACAAAACAAATGTTTTAATCCACAGAGGAATTAACATAAACCAGAAAACAGTCTTGCTCCCAAAAACTTGCAACTTCATATCTTGGTCTAAGTTAAAACTGGAGTAAACATGCCTTGTATTCACCCCAGCTTCCTATCCACAGCATCTCCATATCAGTCTCCATTCAGAATAGGGGACTAACTAGTCCGAGGGTCAAATATGGCCGACCCACTTGAATACTTCCCCACGGGATATCTATTCAGTGTCTATTAGCGGATTAGGCGACAAGCTTTGAATTGGATCGCCATATTTGACCCTCGGACTAGTTAATCCCCAATTCTGAATGGGGCCTTAGTGTCCACATTGACATAATACACCATATACATATATACATATGTTGACTGCACCTTAAGTTACAAGCAAACTAATTCTACTTGTTAATATTACACCCACCTATAACTTGGCCTCATGGTATCATTAGTATTTTCTTATATATATTATGAAATAAAGCATACAATCCTCTCCCTATCTATTTCATAACAAAACAAAACAAGATTACGTTATGGGAACATACTGTGATAACTAATGATATATCACACACTGAATATCAAAGGCCAGTGAAAGCTCCTCTATTATTGGCATGCCACTGTACTTGCACAAATTGGCAATACCAGAAACATGCTCATAATAGAAGTTTCAGAAACCTCTGAAAACCGAAGTGCTACAGGAAACAACATAGGCATGCTGATAACAGAAGTCAGTTCTTCCAGTGACCTCTGACATTCAGGATGTCTTACTGAGAGTTTGTAGGAATACTGGGGATATAGATATTGAATATCATGTGTTCTACATAACAATAGAGACAAAATCTGAATATGGTTTGATAATTCTGAAACCCTGACCCAATATACAAGTATTGAATTGTGTGCTAAATGGGCATAATATGTGACCTCAGTGACCCCCTCCTCCCCTCCCCCTCTCCAGTTGTCTCCTTCCATGATATAGATATATGAAAAGCAGCCCCTACTATGTATTATAATGTAGATTCTGAAAAGGAGCCCCTACTATGTATAACAAATGACATCACAAGGGGCTAGTTTAGAAAAAAAACTTGAGACCGTACGATGGTCTTAATTTTTAGACTTAAATTTTAGTCTACTTCAATTAGGGATAACAGTATTTCCGAAACAATGAAATAGACCAACTTTTGGTCTAAAACATCTTATTAAAACGTCCAAGTAGAGTGTACACTGGACCTACAAGTTACAATCAATTTTTGGTCTCAAGTTCTTTTTTAAAACCAGCCCTGGGTTCAAGTAATAGCTCTGGTAAGCATTAGCAAGTAAACACAGTTAAAGCCATCAGTGTAGCAGACTTGCAACAGACAAAGAAGGAATAATTGCAATTCTCCAAACTATTCTATTTTTTTTTTGTACAATAATCAAGCCATTTATAATCCACAACAAAACATGTGTAGAGAAAAATAAGCCCTGATCAGGTAATCAAAACAACCTAAACAAAGTACAACTTACCAAGCTTTGGTTATTGGGAGTATACTGGCTATGAAATACTCAGCTGTTATATAACAAAGAGAACTACAACACCTGGATATCAAAATCAACTTTTTGGAATGATAAAAAGCTACAACCATGACACTTTACAAATGTATAGAAATTATGAAAATGCTGCTGAAAAAGTTGTGCCCACCACAATTTCAAAATTGCCTACAATATTTCAGTTCTACTCCACAAGGTTTGATTTTACCAAGAATTGCACAAAGGAGAAATGTTCTTCCAATCAAGCTCACCCATCAAAAAGATCATTTACATATGAATAAAATAAATACATTCAAAAAAGGAAACCTCCCACATGTAAATCTAACATCCAGTTGCATTGCTTATTTTGTACATTTTTTACAACTCTACTTTACTGGTAGAAAAAACTCTGGTGGACAGCCAATGTTTCACAGAGCATCGTAAGGCAGAACACGCAGAACGTGACAACACCTTACCTTCCTGTGATAAACCTGCATAATAATCTCAAGCCCCTTTCACACTGTACCACACACTTTTCTGTTTCACACCACTTGAGAGATTGACAAAACAATATTCTGGCTCTTGCATAAGGGTGTAATTTTCAAAAATCCCTATACTCAACATGGCTTGTCAACTAGATTAAATCTGATAGGTCAAAATATCTAGAGGTGAACCTGTGAAAGTGAGTGAAACCCCCAGAGTGTTATAACAGGCAATGACCTGTTAAATATGTGGAGAGTACCCCCCCACCCCCCCAATAGTGTAGTAACATGTTAGGACCAGTCAATGACCTGTTAAATATGTGGAGAGTACCCCCCCCCCCCCCACCCCAATAGTGTAGTAACATGTTAGGACCAGTCAATGTAGTATGAAGCAGAAAAGTGTTCAGCAAGATGTGTTCAGGGCCTCATGGATCTAAACGGTGGGTTGGCATGGAACGGAATTAAATGTTTCTCTATCTCAAACTGGTAGCCTGTACAAAACACCCCCACCCCCAAAAAAGCACCTATAATACAATACAAACTATTGAAACTGGACTACAAAACAAGCACAGCAGTTGAAACAGGACACTCGGTCTTGAAAAGTTTAACACATGTCACAGAATATATATATGTTCTACAAGAAATACATCTGTGGTTTCAAAATAAATCATTTCTGTTAGATAATCACCCATTCCCCCCATAAAATAAAGACTTATATATACATACTACATATAATATCTACTGAACTGAATAGAGTGAATATTAAGAATTTGATTCTAATTCTCCTTCTACCTCTGTATTGATCAGAAACTGTTGTCTAATGAGAATCTTAGCAGAAAATGAAGAGAAATCTCTTTGGTGCAAAAGTCACCCTGAAAATCAGGGGCCAAATGGTGCCTATCTTACTATAGCTGGGGGCCTGCTGTACAAATATATCGTAAGTTTTTTGGTTTTAGCTTGGACTGCTAAAAATCTGACAGCCGGCTTACTTTAGTTGACTTTGCGATAATGATACTTGTCTTAGATCTTAGCTGGCCCACTATTAAATTAAATATAGGTGGATCAACTATGTAGGCTATTGTTGTTTATGAAGGCAACATTCAGTGTTATTGTGAAGACAATCTTATAGTTTGCTGTGGAGACTTGCTTGAAGACAAAAAAAAAAAAAAAAAAAAAAAAAGAGGCAATCTGCCTTTTTGATTCTATTTAAATGTCTTCTGGGTTAAAACCCTGGACAATCTTTGACAAGATCGATTTTGGATTTGCCAAATTTTTTTTATGAAACAGGCCTCAGTATACCTTAAATATTTCAATTCACCTAAAATGGTGTCAAGAAAACATTGGCATGAATAAGAAAGCGGCTACAACATGAGTACTCTGAAAGTCAGGGTGATGTTAAAAAGCTATAATAAAATAAAGTTCAACTACCACATGAAAATAAATTAACACTGAAGAATGTGTGGATGTACGTATCAGCAGCACCAAAGACCTTAAGCAGGACAGCCTTGACATAGGAAGTATTCTCAAGTTATGTTCGTTGTCTATTATTTTCAGTAGAGTATTTCGTTCATTTAGACATCTTGGCTACCATTTTATTCATATGAGCTTGAAATAAATATAATCAAAGGTGCATGCACTGCCTTGTGGCCTTTACTGAAGTGATTCCTCTCTGGTCTTGAAATATTGAGACAAATTTCTTCTCTTTCCACTGCTGAAATGTCAAATTACTGCAGAAGCTTTGACATGCTTTTCACTAACTCTATTTTTTTTAAAATCTATCTTTGTTTTCATTCAACAAGCAAAAAGAAAAATCCCTTTGGCATTTGTTGGCAAATTTTCAATATTTGTGAGGGTTTTTTTTAAGCAAGGCAGTGATGAAAAAAATCCAACCTTGAGAATACTTCCCAGGACATAACAACAACATAGTACATATTATGACACTCTTCCTCATCTTCACTTTCTTACATATGACAGTTATTTTTTTTTTCAGCAATAACAGCACAATAATGTGACGAGATCTGGAGGACAATACAACAAGATACAGAACACATTTCAACAAGACAATATATCATCTCAAACTGCACAATACCCAGTCTTTGTCAATAAAACCGTGGAGAAATTATGCAATTTTATCGATGGCATAAGCAAACATTTTTTCAAAGCAGTCTTCTGAGTTGAGAAATAGAGACCACCACCTTTTTGTCTGAAGACAGAACAGCATCAAATAGCCAACCTTTCCACATATCCCTGGGGTAATGTACAATCAATCAATCAATCAATCATAGGACCTTGCCAAGGTCATGGCATGAACTGCTGTCATAATATCCAATCCTTGATGGACTTTATCAGTTTCCATGGCTTCATCCCAGTTGCCTTCTTCAACCAAGCCAGACATCCGAATCACTGGCATCCTTCAAGGTGCCCTGTTATAGCCAGAGCAACGGTTAAACAAAGTATGTAAGTTCATGAAGGTAATCAGACAGTGAAAGCAGACAATGAAATGCACAATTTTTTCAGTCTATTTCTGAACTTACAACAGGGTTGTGTTAGGAGTGGCAATAATATTTGCATTGGGTGTAATACTATCAATCTATGACCTTTGACCTCCTGCAATGACCTTGATCATAACCTTGACCATTTACAATGACCTTGACATTAACCCAGGGATATGGAAGTACAAAACTACTGGAAGCCAGATAAGGCAGTTCATGATAATATCACGTGGCTCCATCTATCTTTTTCTTGTTTAACTAACTTCAACACAGATCACTTATTCTTTGCCTGCGCTGTCACTCGTTTTGTCACTCGCCCACAACATAGTCCTCCAATAAACATGACGGAGATAACAGCGAAGATAATTAAAAGGAAATGGTTCCGAGAAGGCGACCCCATCACTTGATCCCACAAGTCTGCTGCTGTCTCAGGTGGGGCAATCTGAAAGGAAACAAATCAAGTGATGATGATCTGGCCTGAATATTTCTATCATCCAGTACACTCCTCAAATGAGACAGATACAGTAGTAAAGATGTCTTCCAAACATGCAGCCTATCACTGACAAATACCTTTAAACTATGACCCAGAAAGCATAAAAAAACAATTAACATGGCCTTAATATTATCTATAGAATAAAAAGTGACATAACAGTGAAATGACTTCAAGGAAATGGTTCCAAGATAGAAAGCTAATAATAAAGTATGATTTGCCAATAAATAAAGAATCAATAATTAACTTAGCTTAAATATAACAATTTTCAATTTGAATGTCTATCAGGTTTAGTCTACTTACTTTAGCAGCATACTCCCATAGGTCTACTCTCTGTTGTAGTAATATCCTACAGTGTTTAGTAAGACGTATTGTTCTATCATCCAAAGCTGTCAATAAACAACTCATCACTGGAAAAGAGACGAAAAAACTCATGGCTTACCTATCAACTTCTCTCGACTGGCCACTTATTTTAGCATTTTATATTCATTTATTCAATCATGTATTTATTTTAGTACTGGTTCATTTTACAATGACTATGATCCAACAAGTGTAATATTTACAATCATCATGAACATGCTTCACCCTTGGACGTAATGGCATCAACAGCAGCAGTAGAAACAGGTTTACACCAGAGTTTTTTTTTCTCTCTTATTATTGAAAGGACCTCTCTTGTTTGCAGACCATTATCAGTCATAATGGTTTTAGAATAAGTTACATTTAGTCTGTCTCTGCTACTGTACAATAATACACTTCATAATCTTGAAAAAACATTTTAAAAATGTTTTTTAATGTTCCGGAGTAAGCCAGAATGCCATTAATCAAACAAGTATCTTTGTCCCTATAGAGAATATCTGTCAATACCAGGACCAGCACCTGTGCCCCATCAACTTACATCTTCCCTCTCCTGGTTCTATGCCATCACAGTAATGTCTGAGATCAGCTGAACATGCCTGATGTAGGATAGGATCCAAGTGGACATCTGTCTTCCCTTCTACTAATATCCTGGCTACTTCCTGGATGGAGACATAAATATACAAAATATATGTGCATACAGACCATGGTCTAAATATTAGAAAATTTTCTCTACTTCTAAAACAGGCACAAGCCTTTTTGAAGTGTACTACTACAGTAACCGTTTTCACCTTTGAACATTTTAAGAGTAGAACCATCCCTACTAATACTTACATTTGAGCAATCACTTTTAGGTTTTATCTTGTTTTGTTTTACTAAATTTTTCAGACACTCTTCCACCTCTCCTTTGCCTCCCTGGCCATTCTGAACTCTCTCCACCTCTTCACTACAGTATGCCTTCAACTAGGGGACAAATATATATAATAAATAAATAAAATTTATTCATTCACAAATAAATTGATCAATTTTACAAATTTCATTATTAAAATATATAAAGAAGTAAACAGATATTATTCCTTAATTTTGAACCCTGTCAGCTTCATCACCTTGATTTTGTTTCAACTACCAGACAGTCAATTACATGATAATATAAGATAATAAGATAATCAATTCTACAAACAGATGGTCAAAGAAACAGACTTTAAAAACTGAATATACATCAGAAAAACAGGACATCTCCACAGATGTTTAATCTACCTCTTTCTCGCAGGCTCTGGCCAGCACAGGGTCCTGTCTGTAGTCCAACGCCGCACTACGGATTATCTGACCTATCTGGTCTTCACAGTTCTTGGACAACCTCTGGAATAAATAAATAAATAAATAAATAAATAAATAAATAAATAAATAAACAGTCATCTTTTGAAAAAGTGGACCTTTAATCCCTTTATGCTACACACAACATAAAAAAAAAGCATAGAACCTGTATGATAAAAATTTGATTCAGGTCTGCTACCAACAATTAGTACTGTAGACAAATACCCCTTTTCTGTATGGTGTCTTCAAACAGTTGATGACTTCTCCTTCAAAGTCCTCGTCCTTGCTCTTCTTATTTTGGAGGACAGCTTTGCAGAACTTGGGGATGTCCATGGTGCAGGCGCTCTTCAGGGCTGGATTCAGGCGATAATCTGGGTAAAAAAAAAGTACAGAAAATTAAAAAAATTAAATTAAATTTGCATTACTAAAATACTCTTCTTAACCCATGTCTAAAAATATATTACTAAATATGAAGATCTGCTCCAAAACTGACCAAATTGTGCATTAACTATAGTGGCAGAGAGGTGTAGCTGCTTCTTGTGTATGTACCACCATCTTGGTTAGGCACTTCATTGAAGCAATTATACAATAACATGCTATTGTTAATGTACATATGCCTTAATATCACATGGTTTTGTTTTATATCTATAGCAAAGACTTTTAGTCATCTTTGTAGCTTTGTACACATGAAACTGCTTTGTAATAGCTTGTTGTCCAAAAATTATAATATTTATAAAATCACCTCTATTTTGTTCTATCTGTCTGTCAGATATCTTCCTGCGGCATTTCTGATCAAAATTGTCCTCGTTCTTGTGTCTTTTCAAACAAGTGAGATAGTTGGAAGGTTCCTCATCCTGGCAGTAGTGCTGAAATACAAATTTAATGCTAATAAGACAAACCATTTATTGGTTTTGTGTAAGAACAAACATTTATATGGTATATGTGGTACAGTGTGGAAACACTCTCACACTCTTGGTGAAGTCTAATTTTCTGCTGCATAACAAGGATGAAAATATGGTCAGAAATAAAAGTTTTTATCAAAAAAAAAAAAAAAAAAAAAAATCCACACATTACGTACCTTCACCATGCTCTTACAGTAAGTCATGAAACCAAAGTCCACACTGGGATTACGCTCCATCACCATCTAAAACAATATGATTTACATACATTTATATTTTATTATGGAGATATTAATATAATTGTGATACAAAGAAAAAATAATCAGTTTCTGAAAAGACTCAATGTGTTTTTCTACCTATGAGGCATTTTTCAACCCTTCATTACCATGATCAAGAAGGGCTTGTTGGTGTTTTGCTAGTCTGTGGATCAAATATGGTGCGACCAACTTGAAAGGGTACCAAGACTTAATTGCTCTTTCCCTGTTGAAAGGGCGCACGTGGGAGGCAGGAATCCATAATGTGCGCTATATTTCCATAATTTGTAGACCAATTAGTCCACAGACAAACTGGGTCTGAATGCCCCTATTGACACCAATATCAGACAAATGACCAGGAGATAGGACATCTGAATGGCCCTATTGACACCAATATCAGACAAATGACCAGGAGATAGGACATCTGAATGGCCCTATTGACACCAATATCAGACAAATGACCAGGAGATAGGACATCTGAATGGCCCTATTGACACCAATATCAGACAAGTGACCAGGAGATAGGACATCTGACTTGTGAATATATTCTTGAAGGTGCACAATATTATGGGATTGGTGGGGTTTTTAAATCATTCCATCATCTATAGGTTTCATTTTGAGATTATATTTGATCCGAATTTGATGTTCTTAAAGGCTTGTTAATAAAATGTGAGAAATTCCAGTCTTATGAAGTGTGTGCGTGTTTGTGTTTGTTTTATTTGCCTGCGCGTATGCATGCAGGTACATACCTCTCGTTTAAACAACATACTTCTACATGAACTGGACAGTTTCTTTGGGTTTTTCTTCCTAAGGCACTCGGTGACCTCTGCGTTCCCTGCATTCTTGTCTGGGCAAAAGTGGTCAATATCTTCCTGGCATGACTGGAGAAGATCTGGATCCAGTTTAATCGACTCCGACTAAAAAATCAGTAAATAAGAAATAATAAAAATATATGCAACCATACTAAATGCTGTACATAAATTAAAATAGCAATAATTTTGTTTTTAAAATATCAAAGAGAGAATGATTAGTACACTAATGCTCATACAATAAGGAATCTTAAAGATATGTAAGTTTGACAAGAATTCACTCAATATTGTGATTTCCAAGTTTAACCTCAAGAACTGACAAAGACGGAACAGCAGTGTTTTTTTAGTGTGGGCATTATTTAGTTTCTTTTTTTTTTTTTTTTGCTAAAATCACACATCTTGAAAAATTGATTTTTGTTAAAGTTATGGATAAAAAAAAGATGTAGTCCTTGTTCAAAGTAGATTCCTTTCCCCACTTACTGGCTACCACAGCACAAACTTCAACCACAACTGATAACTTGAAGATAAAGTTATTCTGAAAATCAATATCTGTACTTTATCTAGCAAGGTGTTAACTTACCCTCTGTAACAGTTCAAACTTCAGCTGTGACAGACACTTAGCAGACAATCTCTGTACTTTATCCAGCAGGGTGTCATTTCTCATGTGTTCACTAAGGCAGACCACTACCTGGGACCTGAGGAAGAAATGCATTAACAAATAAATTCTTTATTGAAAAACAAAGAACACAGATGTGAGGATTAAAGGAGAAATAGACATCAGAAAGGAGTTTATAAAGAGAAAATATTCTCCATCACAGTTTTGGGTCAATCCACAAAAAAATTCACATCAGAGACACATTTTGTGTGAAATATTTCATAACTGTTTTATACCATTTTTTAATTACTGTCGAAATCTTCCCATACTGGGGTAGCGCTAACACTCGCCAATTTAGCCAAATGCTAAAACTGACTTAAATTGGCTAAACAAAAAGGGCTTGATTTGATTTGTTTTAGTCAAATTATAACCATTTGGATAACAAACTGACAAAGAAGTGGTGATTTGGCTAAGCGAAAAAAATTGCTAGCCCTACCCCAGCCATATCTGATATTTCTTCAGTGTCAAACATGCAAAAAATTGGGATAAGTTAAAATTATGCAAAGAAAACACAAACTGTGTGTTACTGTGGAATGGCCAATAGTAAAGCATTTTTTTTATTCAACCTCAAAAGGACTGCTTTTATGCAAAATACAAGGTAGACATTTCAAGAAATAGTTTAAATTTTGAAACTCTGTACTCACTTTGATTTGGCATTTTTGCATAACTTCATAACATCAGCTTTGCAGGCTTCTTTAAACTTGTGGCTAAATCTGTAGTCCTTCAGTGTGATCTGGAACAGAGAGAGTATTGTGTTAGATGTGACTGGGTGAGCAATAGTGTTAGATGTGTTAGATGTGACTGGGTGAGCTATTGTGTTAGATGTGACTGGGTGAGCTATTGTGTTAGAAGTGAATATACGTTTTGCCATTGTGTTATGAATGATAATATGACGAATGAGCTAATGTGTTAATTGTGAAAATTCAAGTTTTTCCAATTGTGTTGGACATGTTACTGCAGTAACTGTGCCACTGTGTTTGAGCTATTCAGCATAAGATTATTTGCACCAAATCTAATTTTCCCCCCAGGTAAAAACAGCAATGTCTGATGTCTTGAATCATTGCTTGATTTATGGAGAAAGAAAAAACTAAAGAACAAGTGTCCTATGTGTTGCCTACATACCAGCTGATGATGCTCTATGCCTGCTGCACACTTGAGGTCCATCTGGGGGGAGTGTTTCTGTTTGATAAGGCACTCCATTACTTCTCCTGTATCTCTGTCATCCTCCATCTCTTTCTAATAACATAAACAAGATTGCTTTTTGGTTATTTTTTTATCATTTTTTTTCACAAATCCCCTGTAGCTTGAAACAATAAATGCAGAAAATGTTCTTATTTAATTTTTCCTTTTTTTGTTAATTGGTTTCTTATAATAATGAAAAATAAAATTTATATATATTCTCATTAAACACTATTATGTTCTTAAATACTTTCTGAATCATATGAAGAAGACTACTTAAAGTAAATCTATTCTTACAGTAAATTGGCAGCAAAAATAGGCACTTTCAACCCCCCACCCCCGACTACTGGTCTGCTGTGTGTACAGATAAGGAGAAGAACCCACCTGGCAGAAAGTCCTCAACATTGGCATGCACGCCTTCATCAGGATCTTGTCCAGTTCTATGTCTGCGTCCTCATCTTCTGTGAAGTTACCCACTGCTTCCTGGCACTCGTCACTCAAACTATCATAGTTGTCTTGGAGACATTCCACTTCCTGTATATGAGGAAAAATAAATAATAGAAAAACAAAAAGAAAAAACAAACAAAGCAAGTGAAATTTGACTGAAAATTGTAGGAAAATGATTTTTTAATTTTCCTTATTCCTGTAATGGCTCAAATAATAAGAGTATGACAGAAATTTATATTAAGCTAAAATTGGCAGACATGTCAACACCTGCAAACTTAAAGCAGACTGTCATGGCCTCTCTCTCCATCTACTGGAAAACTGAGTAAGAATCAAAGGCCAAGATTTTCATCAAACTGTGTATACTCACAGCTCCCTTCTCTGTCTCCTGTGAACAGTACGTGGCAAGATCAGCCATACACGGCTCCTCAATACGTGGTTCCAGATCTACATTTAGCGCCCTCTGGTGCATCACACGCTTCACTTCCAGTGCACACTGGCGGGAAATCTGAAGAACAAAAAGGGCAAAGATCTGGTTGTTTTATAATATTCATATTTAAAACTTATTTAAGAATGAATCTTTATTTTTTTCTACAGTCCCAAGGAAAACTTGTTACCTTGTAAATATATCTATCTAAAATTAATTTTTAATCACAAATATTACCTTAAACTTTTAAAGCCCTCAAATATTATGTAATACAAAATAAAAGAAAAATATCTCCATACATTTGTAGATGTTTACGACATAACCAAACATATAAAACCATTTCATTCCACAAAACTTTTAATAGAAACAAAGCCATAAACTCAATATAAAATCCTTCACAAATGCAATTTACTACAAGTAACAGCAAAGCATTATTTGTATTAACTTTCTCGTAGGCTACAAGTTATTTGAATAATTACTTTTTAAACACAAACTGGTTGAATAGAATCATCATTACAACATTATGATCTTATCCAAACTTTTTAAATCAACTTTTTTCGATTTGTTTGTTGGTTTTGTTTCTCTTGAACTTCACTTTTGCTATAAATTGTAGTAAATGACATAAATCATAATAGAAAATAATCCAATCAATATTAACAACAGCAGGATACGGGGGCTATCATGACTAAAAGAAACTAGGAATTGGAATTAGATAAAGCATGAGCTGAAATCAAGTAGAAAAACAGAAGAAAATTATCAAGAATGTGCAAAATACAAACATCATCCACAAAAAGTGCAGAACTCAGGAGTTTGGAAACTGGGTTGACTTTGTTTTTTTTTCTCCAGATTTCAACACCTTCAAAAATCAAGTGCAAGACTCAACAGAATACATAATTTGTAACTCTGAAATTGTTAGTAAATTGTTAGAACCTTCAGACACTAACAGAAACATGTTTATTATATATGAATAAACTAACAGCACTTCTTCCATTATGTAATCAAAGAAAATGGAAAAGAAGGTAAAGAAGTGGAAAACTTCAACCCAAGACACCTAAAATTAAGAATAACTTCCATCAATGAAACAGCAGACGATCACACACAAGACACACTGCAGGGAAATTAAAGCCTTGGATCAACAGCTAACACAATATCCATGCACTCTTTTCATCATCATATTTAAAATGAAATTTCATGACAGAGTTATGTAAATGACAAGCTTCTAGATAGCAATCAAAGCATGACCATACTCTATCAGTGTATCCCAACTGTGTTGCGGAAATTTGCACTGAAAGCTGTTTGTCTATCATGGAAGCAGATGTTTCTTCTGGGTTTGCTTTCAGTTCATAAATATGTTAAATGTTTAAAAAGTTGCTTGAAGATTGAGATGTTTGATAAAAACAGCCTGTTACTTTGAATACTGGATGAAAAGTGCATATTTAATCAGCCATGCATAAATATTCCAATTTTTTTTCAAATCAAACAACTTGTGATATAAAAAAGTGCATCAATATTCAAGAGAAGAAAACAAAAGCACAAATTCATTTATTATTCACATCGTCCTTCTGCAAATGATCCTTGGGCATTTCCTTAAATTTGCGATGCAGGCATGCGAGAACAAAACCCGGTGGCCTCTTTTTTCGCTCATTTTCGGACATCTCCGTCCTCCAGTCCTGGACCCCACAGTAATTCTGTGCCACCTTCCAACACTTCCGGTAAAGACGAGGCGCCAGACTGAGACAAGGGATAGACACAGAGACGTTAGAAACATCGAAAAAAAGTTGTATAAATATGGAGACCACTGGTGTAAATACCACACATAAAATCAGAGAGGACACAACCTGCTTTGTGAAACGGGGCTCATCTTGCCAATAAATTAGCAACTTTTGAAAAAAATTATAACTTTATGGCACTTAGGACACTTAAGATAAAATTCAGTTAGCAATATGATCCTAAAAAAAATTTTGACTGGTAGTCTTAAAAAAATTTTGACTGGTCGTACAAAAGATATCTGTATGCGATTCACAAAACAAATTATGAACTCTGAAGTTATGGTGATATTTAATAAGTCCCCTCTTCAATATGTCAGTCCACCAAAGTTATGAAATAGGAAGTTTTCACCTGGAACTAAAGAACACAACCTTCATTTAATACAACATCAGAAATTAAACAAAAACCACGCCAAGGGGTAGATTCTTTCACATCTAAGGCTAAAAAGGAAAAGAAAGACAATGAGTCAAAACAGACATCCTGGATTGGCAATTCCATACCTGCAACTATCCACTGCGCCAGACTGCAACAAACAAAGACAACATCACACAGAATTACCTGCATATGAGGATCGTTTTCGTGATGCATGATTCTGCCATAAAGGCAAGGCAGGATTAAGGGGCCGTTACTGGGCCCTTCCGTGTCAGGATCGTACCAGTTCTCAGAGGCGTGGCAGTGCTTTACTGCATCTTTGTGACATAGTTTGTGTAGTCTGGAGTCTAGACTGGAAATATAGGTGGCAGTGTGAGCAAGAGGAGCTGGCAACAGAGAATGCTAACATAGGGAGAAAGAACAAGGCAGCAAAGCTGTCAAATGTACAGACAAAGAACAGAAAATAAAGATACAAATAAGTGAAAATTTAAATTTTCACNACGACGGCGACGGCGACGACAGACGCAGATGATGGCTATATGTACAGACACATCTGTGTCTGTACATAAAAAAAGTGAGAGTTCAAAGTGAACTAAACAGTTTTTCAGTTTTTCCAGTAATAATTATACAACTACATCCTAGCAAAAGGTAACATCACTTTAAAAATGGCAATATTATGTGTAAGATCACTTACTTGAAGTCCCTAGCTACAAAGTACTGTATTTCTACCAGGCGCTCTTCGCATTCGTCTGTCATTTTGTCTGACTCCATCTTGTCCATCAGGCATGCCATCACACTGGAAATAGGTATAGCTGCCATTAGGACTTTGTATTACCTAGACCAATCTAACCTGCACTGGAAACTTTTCAACCCACCCTCTCCCACCTCTATAGAAATTTGCACGATTTGCACAAGATTTAATCAAATAAAACAATTCTTAATCTTTTGGCTGTATAGGAATAAGCATGCTTAGTGACTTTGTTGAAAACCTTTCTTTTTAATTCAACTGTTTTACAAATCTTACACAAAATCTACCTGAACTTTACTTCATATGGTCCAAAAATTTTTTAGTTTAACTAGTCTAAGGTAAAATCTATAAGTACGTAACCTGGTGCCAGTTTCACAAAAAAACTTAAGTCAGTCCCCTGGCTTAGTTGACTATGATTTCCATGTGAATGCTGTCACACTGCTCCTGATAGGGTAAGATGTGCCCATGTGACCATGTAACCTTGGTAATTAAGCTCTTAGCCAGGGAACCTGACTTAGTTTTTTTTGTGAAACTGGTCTTACTTGGCATCTCCTGGTTTGACATCTTTACACAGCACACTAGCCACAGGTTGACACGCCTGCATCACGGAGGGATCCACCCTGATGTCTTCTGCCGCATCCGCCACCTTGATCAGACCCTCCAGCTGAAATGATTTAATACATCACTTTATACGCTTGTTGCTGTGACCAGTTTTAAGATCTTCATGCAAAAAATCTGCCATAACATGGCTAAAGTTGCAATTTTCAGGGGTGGATCCAGAGACATTTTCTGACAGGCTTACAAATTTTTTTTGTTGAGCCATTTTTCATTTTTGACCGTCTTCTGAAAAAATTAGATGCCCGTCAATGTTAACTTGAAATATTCTGTCTCCGAATGACCCAGAAGATGATTTCCATAAAATCCCTGAATTTAACTGATAAATTTTCATTTTTACCTCGTTCAAAGATTTCATCACCTAAAATTACCACAAGCCCCAATGACAAACAATTAAGATTCTCCCAACTCACCGCTCTGAGACACTGCTCACTAATCCTGGGCTGTTTATCAAACTGTCTCTCTCTGGGTCTGGCCAGGTCCATCAGACAGTGTAGTGTCTTCCCGCCTCTCTCCGTGCCACCATCACAGTATTGGGTCACCTCAGTCGAACAGTCCTTGGCTACCTCAGGCGTCAGCTGGTAATCTTCCATTAAGCTGCGACGCCAGTTGTTCATCTCTGACTGACACTCTGCAGAGACCTTTTTGCCTGAAAAAAGTGATCTGGGGTAGCGCTAACACTCGCCAATTTAGCCAAATGCTAAAACTGGCCTTCATTGGCTAAAGAAAATGGGCTTGATTTGACTTGTTTTAGTCAAATTATAACCATTTTGATAACAAATTGACATAAAAGTGGTGATATGGCTAAGCGAAAAAAATTGCTAGCGCTACCCCAGGTGATGGTGAATTTTGACAGAAATGAATTGTCTTACTTGGGACCAGCGCTGTCAGTACTTTTCAAGATGAGCAGAACTCATAAAAATGGTCTTTTTGCATTTTAAAGAATCCTGTTAATATCATGAATACTTAAAAAATTATAATTCATTTCGTAGAACTTTGGCTGCTTTTCAACCAATATTCCTTTTTTTCAGGGGTGACAAATACAAAAAACTAACAAATTTGTCATGAAATCTGGAAATATATGTTGATGCCAAGAAACAATGAATGGAAACAAGGTTTATCAAAAAAGCAGCCAAGACAAAGTATTCTAAGCCTCATCAGAAAGTGCTGCCACCTTCTGGTTTCAAATGGAAAATGTATTAAAATTCTAAACAGTCTCTTATTCTACACAGTTGCTAATCAACACCTTACAGGGGTTGAAACAGAAATTCTGGGTCACTGGTCCTATGGGACTAGTGACTTTGCTGTGTTACTAGTCCAAGCTAATTTTTAGTGATCCTCATGATGTGGTATGCATTTCCACAATCACATATTACACTGTTTTCAAATGACTTTATTTATTCAAATAAACTTAATATTTCACACATCACAAGTTTTATCCAAATCACAGTTCTTCATTCTTTTTTAAAAGAATTAATTAATATTAAAATATCAGAACTGAAAGTGACGGCGATAGTTTAAAAGCCTTACTAAAAACCCATCTTTTCATGATAAATGTTTTCAGCCTCCCTCTGACTTAATTTTAGAAGTGAAGATAGTCATTTTAGACTTTCTTACATTCTGAATCAGCGCTGGATTCTTGACTAAACGAACTAGTGCTTGGTACTTCAGAATATCTCGTTGCTTTGGCTTGCTTACGCCATATGCAAAAAATTCCACATCGCAGCTAATGCAAATACCCGAAAAATAGTGGCTAAGCTGTCAAATGCAGAGCGCATGTAACTTTTTTGTGGGATTTCTATTTTTAACATCATCTAAGACCAATGAGAGCCGTTCTTTTGTATCAGTCAGACCAATAACGATCTCCAAAACTACTTAGAATATCACTCCCTTACGCTTATGCATGGAATTTGCCGAACTAATGATTCCCGTAGTTTTGCTATGCGCGCATGTGCAGTGATATCCAATATGGCGCGGCCCACGTTCTAAAGGAAACAAGTGAGAAAATATGTCGAATTCACAAGATTTACTGAAAATAAATGCGAAAACATTGACAGAAATGGTGAAGTAGCATCTGTAACCACTGTTTCTGATCAAAACTGACACTCGTCAGAAAGGACTAAAGTAACCTGTCACAATGGGTCGTCCCCGTGCTTTCACTATCTGGAATTTACGAGTGACGACTGTCTGTTTCGACCCATGACCTTACCTTTCTTCCTCTCATTCTCCAAACAGAGCAAAATCTCTGACAGTCTTCCCGGCTGATTTTGGTGGTCTCTGGCATGTTTGGCACACTTGAACATCTTGATGTCCTTAGCACAGCCCTCTGCCAGAGCATGACCCACTTTATAGTCTGCATGCACCAGCTTCTGACGTAGAGTCACCATCTCTTGACACTGGATAAAAGTGACATGGAGATTGGTTAATTTACTGGCCAATTAGGTGAATCTATCATTAGCAAAATTCTACTGATGGGGTTTTCAAACCTAAGATTTTAATGAACATTTTATTAAATGCAATTCCCAAGCCATGACATCCAAGTAAAATATAACCTATAAAAACAAACAGAACATACAGAAATTAATGTCAAAACTTTACCTCTGCGCTCATTGTCCTCTCAAATTTGTGTTTGTACAAGCACTTAAAGATGCGTCCATGTCCCGCTTTCACGTCTCGACAGAACTTCTCGCGATCATCTTTACAGGCGAAGTAGAGCGGCCTGTCCATGTGATAGTCGTCAGACTGTAGTTCAGCCACCCTCATAATCTGCTGATTACATCCCTCGTCAAGTTCACTATAGTGACGCTCTAAACACTTGATTGTTCTGCCTTGGTTGTGGGGGGACTGAAAATATATATTCAGATAAATAACCCTATGATTACGTGTAGAAGGATATTTTCTTATGTAATGTAGTTCAAGGTTTGGTGTATTTCAATTTCTTCTAAGCTTTATCTAAATATAATGTATTATTAAACCTGGTCTTTTAGTGATCATCTTAATTTCAATATTTGTTAAAGACCAAATTACAGATTTATATTTTGGACTCCTTGTAACCCAAATGCTGGGGAAACCCCTCATCAAAGATAAATATGTAGTGGAAACTAGTTATGCTAGTCAACATCATAACCCTCAATCAGAATTATAAATATGTTTAAATGTGTTTTCAAACTTACATCATCCCTGTCATCCTCACTCCGTCCACACTTAAAACGACTGATGTCGTTACCACACCTCTCAACAAAATTTTTGATGAGACGGTAATCTGAGAATATAAGACTGGCCATTTTCTTTAGGAACAACTGGCAGTTTTGGTTGGTGATGTTCTCCATGTTTTCTATCAAGCAGGGAATGATCTCCCCTCCTCCTTGTTGTAACTTGTTGCATTCTGGCAGCTGAAAGGAAAAAGAAGGAAATCATATGGAATGAACTGAAATGTAGAAGGTCCACTGTTATATCTCTTCATAACATAGGACTGTAAACCACTGCAGAGGAACAGAAAAATGTGTACAATTCTCCATGTTTGGGTCTTTTGTTGTGAACATCTGCTGTGGTATCAGTCAGGTGCACTACTCATCAGTAAGGCATCAAGTTGACATTTGCATTGCAATAAACATATATTACTTTAAACCTGGCTCTTTTTTATAATTGTTATTATTACTATTATTAACATTATCATCATCATAATCCTTATCATCATCATCATTTTTATTACTAAACAATTAACAGTAATTATCAACAGCTATATCTGCAGCCTCCCAGTGGTCAAAGAGAGTTCATTATTTCCTCACCTTGGAAAGAGGGTCTTTGCAAACCTCAAATGCTGCAGAATCAAAACGAACATCTGTTGTTAACTGACGCTTGTAGTCATACACAACCTGTAGTGGAAAAATAAAAAAATCAATCCATTAATAAAAATCAAACAATAAGCTTTAACATATACACTGAGCAAATATATAAAAACCCCATGTGAATTATTTATGTGACTTGGGCTTCAGGCGACAATGTGTATTTATGGGCAGCAATGTGTGAACATAACACAACAACAAAATTCACACTGTATGATTTACTATGTATATTACCCATAATGTTGATAAGATTGCAAGAAGTGTTTATATTTTAGCTCAGTGTACTTCAATTTTATAGTTCTCTGTCATAATATAATCCAATGCCATTTCCTTTCAGGTCTACCATTGGAAATGTCATCCATGCCGTTATATAACAAAACATTCAAACTGATACCAGATACAATATAATAACCATTCTCACTGACTGATATAACAGAGTATACAATATGACAGTCATATAAACAGCTTAACACATTGACTTTATAGCATATTTATTACACCTGACAACATAAAATAACTAGAATAAAGTCTTGGGATGAGAGAAGACACCATTTTTAATAATTAAATTTAATTTAATTAAATTTTTAATTCAGCTTATAGGTCTCATACTCACATGCTGGCATTTGGGTGTCAACTGTTGATTTTCCTGTAAAGAAATACAAAAAATCAGTTCTATTATGAGAGTATTTAATTAGATTTACTGACCCTCAATTCTAGATTCACAAATTTCTCACAATTTACCACTGAACAGGGTTCAATTATAACAATGCTTGGCTTTCCTCCTCAGAGATAATATGCATTATGTAACCTGGATTCACAGAAATCTTCAGTAAACCTCCCCTCAGCATGTTAAGTATAATCAGGATGTCATGCCCTATGGAGAAACATGGCCTAGGATAATGAAATTATCACTCTTATTTGGACAGATGGTCCTAAGTTATTAAAAACAGGTGGTCTCAGTATACATAGACTTGTGCACTGGGAAAGAGATCTCCATGTCACTTGGTTTAAGTGAATTTACTACCAACAAAGGAGACTGTGTTTCATTAGTTCTAACACTTAATTCAGATTTTATTTGGGAAAATCAACTTTGTTTTAATCCCCAGGGTAAGGGGGGGGGGGGGTAAAGAGGGAGAGAGGGGGGAGAGAGGGGGGAGAGCTTATTGCTGTTAGCAATAACTTGCCGTTTTTCAAACACCAGTACCATATTTCTAACCAGACCTGTACATTGCAAAAATCATAGTTATTCTATTCTAAAACAAAGATAAAAAGACCTTTCTCTCCATATTACAACTAGGAAAAAATATATACTTGAATCATTTCTATAGCAACACATAAACAAATAAATCATTAACTAAGTGTAGCTTGGCTGTCATTAACAACAATTATCAGCATTTGACAATCGCCCAGCATCTGACCGTTGTAAAGCCAGTGAAAGTATGCAAACATCTTTAATAATGGGTGCCTGCCCTGATGTTGACACTGTCTCTATACTGACCACTACTTCCAGACCAGTGACCCTTGGTGACCAGGTAAACACTGGACATAGGACCACTAACGTTAATACACTAATGCATCACTGCAGTGTGACTTAAGTTTTATCTATTTAACTTTTCTATAGATCTATTTACTCAGTATTTATTCATTATGTACTTCCTTATTGAAATAAATCATAAAGATATCTATTTATGTATCTGAGTAAGAGTCTATTTATTCATTTCCTTGTTTACTTATATTTTTCTCTATTCATCACCATCATCATCATTATTATTACCATCATTTTTTAAAAATTTTTATTCACATTTATTTAAGTTATTTTAGTTGATCTTATTTTATCTCATTTTCTTTATTTGTTAATTTATTTACTTCTTTATTTTTCTGTTTGCAAGGAAAGTAACTGTAGCAAGCAAATATGGTTCAGCACATCCTTCACCAATGAACTACTGGTAAAGTGCAGTGCAGGAAACACACATGACATGGGAAAGACATTAAATGCATGGTAAAAAACACACAATGCTTAAAAGGCTTTTAGCCTCCCAAATTGGAGACAAACTGAACTTATTAAGGGCCATGTATATATAACATTAACAATAAAAATAATGAAAACCCTCTTTAACTGATTTTCACAGTGATCGATGTCAATATTTGTGTGTGTGTCCTTTGGGAAATTAAGACTATTTGCAGGCTACATACTAGACTCACTCAAGCTCAGACAATGAATACCAGCATGATCCAGGACTGAGATCAGTTACTGAAGTGGTTAAGTGTTTTTTTTTTCAATCCAGGTAAAACCGATGAAAAAATTGAAATCAACTCACTCCACTGAATGAAAAAACAAATACAGATACACATCAGTTTATAAGTTCTTTCACAATACAAAGCACACTGATATGGATTTTAACAATAACAAACAAACAAATTAATTAATTTAAAAATAAAACCCTTGTAAACTCTAACAGTAAGCCTTACATTTACATATCCTTCAAAATCAGGGTGTTTATGAAACACCCTGATAGCAAATGAATTTATTCATTGAAAAAAAATAAAACTTCAGGCATATTGAAGAAAAGATACTGGTAAAGTAACAAAGTTGGCTACCAGTATGGAGATATCTTTTTATTACCATACCACATCCATTAGTAGGAATCCTTTTAAAGACACCTTAAAATTTATTTCTTGGGTACCAGGAAATCATGGCTTTTAACCTACCACAAAATTCTACAAAATGCAGGGAAAAAACCTCCAATGAACAAAATATGTCAATCATATTAAATCCTCCAATTATGCTCTAGATCAATACTCAGCAAAATGTAATATAATAACAAATTTACAAATGAAATAAAGTCTAAAATAAAACATTTGATTATGACTCAATTGTACTCTGGACCCAGATTTATACGGAGCAAAAAATTCTAAAATACTGCCAGCAGTTGTTTATAACACCGGCAATAAAAGACTTTCTGAACTGCCATCAATGAGGGAAATATTGCCTTTGAGTGTGGTTGTGACAGGTATTGTTGTTTTTGTTTCCTTTCAGATCATTTGAAGATGAGTCAAATCTTCACTTTGAATAATCAGCTTTAGATCCATATGTGTACTACACATCCAGGGAGAAGACAATTCTCAGCCACATGCAGGTAGCATAGACTGATAGTAATATGTGACTGACAAGTTTGTTGATTTATTTCATTTGGACTTTCATTACCAATAAATTAATGTCATTTCAGAAAAATATCTCTTTTCACATACACCAGAAGAAAGTTACAGCAAGGTCTTCAACCTCAAATACAATAGAAAGTAGTTACATCGTTTGGCCCGTAATCCTCCCCCCTCCCACCCCCTGCAGCTAAGCCCATGTGACTTAGTACCTGTATAAATCATGGGGGAGAATTTATTAACCTTATATAACACTGTCAAAATATTGTTCCCTACAAGTGTTACACAATGCAAAAATTGTGAAATGATAAAATGAACCAAATTCATTTTTGTGATCATTATAATATGAGTATGAAGAATTTTTATTTTACTATTATTATTGTTGAATTCTACCAGATCATCAAATCAGGTACACGTCGACTTACACTCTATAATGGAATGCAATGGCAGATCATCATACAGGATATGTTTAAGACACCTATTTACATCCACAAAGCAAAAGGAAAATGTTTCTAAGACTTAATTAAAACCATATTGTAACAGCCAAAGAAATTTCAGAAACAAGTCCAGAACTGCAGACACAAAGTTGGGGCAGATGCTGAGATACATTTGTGCAACTCACGCTACAGCCTCCTCCAGTAATTTTCGTGAACTTCATTCTGTTCAGATGCACTATTTAAAAGGCTTCAGCTGTCAATGACTATGCAATGAGATCAGAGCAGGGTCCAAAGGATTTGTGTGTGTGTGTGTGTGTGTGTGTGTGTGTGTGTGTGTGTGGGTGGGTGGGAGGGGGTGCACTGGTAGAATACAAGGGGGTGGGAGAGTACATGGTTACAACAGGAGAAAGCATTACCCTACTAGTACTTCTTCCAGTAGAACTACTGCCCCCCCATGTGGACGCTTATATATACTGACAACCCACAGCTATTTTCCCCTCTGTGTTCCTCAGCATATATTTCATTTCCCTCATTCACAGTAACTCTAAAGTTCACTGTCAGACATTGGATAGCCTAACAATTATCTATACTGTCTAACAACAAGTCTCGACGTCAAACTCACCTTCAGATCATTCTGCAAGCAATCCAACACGGCGAAATTATTGCTCATGGAGTTGGCAAGGTTGTGGCTGCAGTAATGTTTTATCTCCTCCTTACAGTCAGGGTTTTCTGCAAGTTTCATAGGAGGCGTGGGGTGGGCAGCTTGTTGTTGCTGCTGAAAGCTCCCCGGACTCCGGTTTGGGCTTTTATAATCCACGGCAGGGTTTTGTTTAAATGCCAATCCTCCTCCGCCGATCTGGTTGCCTTGGCGTTGCATGTTTCCCTGCCCCTGCCCGCCAGCCGGTACTTGGGGGACGGCCCCTGCTGGTTGCCGCGGCTGTTGTTGCATGTTGATAGCGTTAGCAAACTGTCCATTTCCCCTTGTTTCGATACGTTTTTGTCGCTCCAACGCCATCTCTTGCTGTGAATTAGAATTCTCGTTCGGGAGAGCATTTTGGTTAATTTTGCCTTCCCCCCATACGCAATGTAGCAGTAAAAATACTGCGAAGATCGGAAGGACACGTCTGTGGTCGGCCATCTTGGCACTAATGGTACTATATTTTGAACACGTCAGACGTATTAAATAAAAAGTGTACGTTGACAAATATTTGTAGTATAATTTTTGGTAAATTTGCTTTTTTGATAGATATGAACACAAGCTTTGCTTAAAGGGGTATTAACTTCACGCACAGTTCTTGTGAAATTGCCAGCCGCAGCACGCATACGTCAGTCGGTGTAGTTATTTCCGGTAAATAAATATAACTCCGCTACTTGATTTTGCCAGTTCTTGATGAACGCATGTACGTAACCTGCGTGGCAGATGATGAAGACACTTTATGTGTATTAGGATTTCCATTTTCCAAATGCATGTTTTGTTAAACAAATTAAAAACAAAAACTGCAATAAATTTGACTTATATTTATGTTAAATCATTAAGAACAATAAATTAAAGGCGGTTGCCGAAACGCACATATAGGGCCTAATTAAAATAGTCACCCGAATCCAATTTACAGGGTTACTACTTAATATGGAATATTATTTTTTGGCGAGTAAATTTTCTACAAAATATTTATTTTCTCTCTTACTCTTTTAAATACAAAACTACTCCATGTGTAGCCAGGTGTGTTACCTAATTACCACACAACTCTCGAAACAATTGATGCATGCAGTTGCATGCATGTTCTGTGGTCAGAAATGTGAGGGGTGGTCTTTTCGGCAATTTCTGCCCTTGTATAAAAACGCATGGGTTTGGTCAATCTTTGGAGTGTATTAAGAGAAGCAACAAAGGGATCCCTCTGAAACTTGCCAGGTACCTTAAAGAAAATATAACATAGGCCCCTACCACTGTCCGGAGGCTATCATTTTCTTTAATATCTTAGTTTAAAGTTAATTTGCTATCAAACTGTTGATATGGTTTTCTGGGGGTGTTCTTTTCTTTTGAATGACATCTTATGTCAGATTTGATATAATTGACCACAACAGAAGACTGGATACTTTTATTACTCAATGACATACTTTTTGATGAATCAGGCCAAAAAATATTTAATCAGCACTCAAAAATTAAATAAATCAAAGTAGTCAGGGGCGGATCCAAGATTATTTGAAGTTTTTGTACTACAAAAAACATTGCTTTTTTCTGTCAGCATGTTGCATTTTTCTTTTTCTTTTTTTTTTTTTTAATATTCAGTGACAAACAAGCCTAAATCGCGCATGAAAATATACATCGCGCTATATGCCTACAGAAAATTATCATGTTTTTACAATGTTATTAAGAAAAACAGTACTCATCGAATTTTCAAAGTCAGCTGATAGTTTTCCATTTGTGACGGTAACGAACGTACCGGTGCATGTTCCTTTTGGGGTTAGATGATGAATTATCTTTTATTCTTCATATGGTTCGAGGACAATGAAACTTCTTCACGTCCACGAGACCCAAATTTAATTTAACATAGTTTGCAATCTGTGCACTAAATACTTTATTTATAACAGCATTCCTGTGACATCAAATACACCTCTGTATATTAGGTTTGGGTGCGTAGTAGGCTGAGATGGAGCCTACAAAAAGGGTACATAGGCCTGTTTTACATTCAGAAACGTTGTAATTATTCATAGTTATCGGATCGACATGCACGTAGAAAAGGACGCATTCTTCTTTATTACTTTTATTATTTCCTAAACAAACCAAGAATTTATTGTTACTCATCTCATAGGCCTCGCTACTGGTCAAAATCATCGCAAGGATTATATATTCATGTATATTGACTGTATTTTCTTTAAAGACGCTCGAACTCCTTTAAATTGCCCAGTTTTATAATTAAGCAGTTATTTATTGCTCTCGTTTGATTGGCGGTCATGTAAAAGCACATTGTACAAAAACCAGTATTGTTTTATCTGTAGTTGTATGCCCATTTATTTATTTGGGAATATTTTTAAAGTCTTACCTTATTAGGATAGATAGTAATTAAGTGACCAGCCGAAGAGGTAAAGTTTTTTTAATTATTATTCTCTGCATAAGACGAGGCACGCGAAATTTAGTGCAATATTGGACTACAAAGTAGACTACAGATGTCAAAGTAGAGTACAGATATCGATCTGAACTACATGTACTTTTTATCATCAACCTAGCACATGGTAGATAACAGACGATAGACGATCGAAGGGCGTATCCAGTGTATGTAGCCTACATGTAGGCTCGTGACTCCTCCCTTATGTTCCTATCTGTAGATATATACCCCTGACTCCTTCTCTCTCTCAAATAAATAAATAAATTTTAATGAGCAAAAGCAGTCAAAAGTATGAATTTTTCAGTCTCGTGCTCTAAAATGTCCTTGCCTTCTGTTTGAATTTCGTCAAGCGTGGCTTTAAGCCTTTTGCCCCCACCCCACCCCCCACCCCACCCCCACCTCCACCAACCCACCCTACCCATCTGCCTCCTTCTGTAGTAAACTTCTGTACCCATTACTGTTCAGTTGTATTAGATACTTTCCGAGGTTCCCATTTTTAAAGTGGAGCATCTCGTGGCTGAATAAGAACTTCGTTGATGGCCACTTCATCCGGTTGTTTCAAGGCATATAACACAACACGAGCAATATCGTCAGCTGAAACTTTGATACCTTCTGCAACTTCACTGTAAATTTTCTTGCACTGAAATCACAAAAGGAACAGGTGGAATGAATGGATAAATGACGATTTTCATTTTGATAATGGAATAAGGAGATTGGCAATGTCAACTGTATCGATAAAATATCTTGAAGATTGAGTGATTTAACAATTTAAAAATCATAGCTTGTCTACAGAAGAAGTTCCAAATTCTTGAATGAAACTCTTAAAATGTTAAACTAAAATATTTTTTAAATTACTACTATCAAATGGACACTGTCAGAACGCTCAAATGTTCACAGCCCCCCCA